CCAAGAAAAAGAGTAGAGACACAATACACACGCAACTCCAACAGCCATGCAAACGTCCACCCATTTACATGTAAAGTAAAGAGGGATAACAAATAATTATACGAAACGAATGCGTACGGGGACGGGTACACGCACGTTCACATACACGTAGTAGTGTAAGAGAGTAACATAGTGCAGTGGTCAGCATAATACTAGCACATGCTGAGAGTGCAATAGCAAGCTTCACCATTGCTCATGGCCATGCAAATGTTCAGCAGCACTCAGTTCCGCAAGCTTCTGAAGATCAGCACACCTGCAACAAATAGATAGCACAAGGATACGCTTATTACCGTAATGATGCATGGGAGCACACAACTACCAAGTTCTCAACGAATGTGATGCTCAATGAAAATCAATCCACTCAAAGACCTGTGAACAGGTGATGGTGGGGACAATAATCTATTAGTAATACGAGGAATAAGGTCGTTTGTACGAGGAATAAGATCGTGTGTGCACACTCAAGACGCACAGACACACCAACATACATGAAGTGTACACAGTGTTTCACATAACGGCAACTAAATTGAAATGAGATGATTTGAACAATCTGTACAGCATTGCTGTCAGTCAGTCTTCCCCAAGATGGAAATGCAATAATTTGCTGTCACGAGGCAGTTTCACTGACACAATGTCATGTTCGTGACATCAAAACGGTTACTTCAGGGAATACCAGTATTAGCTTGAGAAGCTTTTTCTTGTCATTGGCATACAAGCAATCCTCCTAGTCCTACTACTACTAGTACACTGGCACTGCGTTTGTGGATCCCATTGTATTTGACATCATACTACAGGAAGAGTGTCGTGGAGTTCACATAATTATCACAGGGATAAACTTGAATACATTTCTCATTAAATAATAATTGCTGATAGCTAGACGATAGGCTCCGGCGGATTATGCTCGCGAAATCATGGAATTATGCTTTCATGGATTCTCGCATTATGCTCGCGAAATCCTCATAATTATTATGCTTTGGCACGCAGGGATACATACTCACTTTGTTGTACTTATGGAGCCTCAAAGTTCGGAAAATTGTGCCTTTTCGTACTTGCAAGTGGCCATTGGTACCACAAAATACATGAATATCCCCATACCAAGATGACCATGCCTGCTAGAGATCAACATGGAAAGAGAAAACATGACTCCTTCTATTCATTAGTTGATTTCTTTTGTAAAAAGATTTTTTCATTGCCAAATTAGTTTGAGTTACCTTTGAAAATTATCAAGTTCAACTGTCTTCGTAATCGTCATACTCGTCCAACCGATGTCACCCTCACCCTGCGACAAATCAGCTCATCTCTCCCGTACCTCTCCTTCCACCATGACCGAACATCATCTATACCTCATTTTTTTAAAATTTATATTAGAACAATAACCATAGCTTGCATAGTCGATGGTCTCGATCCAGCGCGTTTCTCTGCACGCCTTTTCGGAAAAGTTGCGAAGTAGTTCGTGAAAATGAAGAAAGTTGCGATTTCTTGCAAAACAACGGAAAGTTGCGAAAAAGTGGCCAGCATCTTTGGAAAAGGGCTACTCCGAACCCTTTACCATGTGGACCACCAGCACTAATCAGTTGCATTTTACACAATTGTGTAGCTTACATACTGGAATTATGGTACAACCATGTAGTTATGCTCCTACATCCGAAAGGATGCCTCATTATGCTCCAAATTTTCAACCTCCAAATTATGCCAATAATTATGCCGGCATAATCCGCCCTGGGGGGAGAGAGAGAGCACTGTGCACTGAACCCACAATCTAAAAAATGGACAATTTAGAAAATTTCTGATGGGCACGAATGATATTGTTCCTACCCCGCTGTTGTTCATTCTCGGACGCCGACATGTTCGCAACGTTACTACGGAATGTGACCGTGGTGAAGAAAAAAAGATATATTCACGCAAAAAAACGAGTGAGTTGCGCACAATAACAGTATGCTTTTACTCTGGGCTCGGGTGGCGATTCATAGGCTCTAGCGAATTATGCTCGCGGAATCATGGTGCTTTTATGGATTCTCGCACTATGCTCGCAAAATCCTCATAATTATTAAGCTTTGGCACGCTGTGATACACATCCACTTTGTTGTACTTATGGAACCTCAAAGTTTGGAGTAATATGCGTTTTCGAGCTTGAAAGTGGCCATAAGTACAACGAAATACACGACTATCCCCATACCAAGGTGTTCACGCATGCCAGAGATCAACATGGAAAAGAAAAAACATTTCTTCTTCTATTCATTAGTTGACTTCTTTTGTAAAAAGATTTTTTCATGGCCAAATAAATTAGTCTGGCTTACCTTTGAAAGTTATCATGTCCAACTGCCTTCGTAATTGTCCTACTCGTCCAACTGGTGTCATCCTAACCCTGCGAATAATAAGCTCATCTCTCCCGTAGCTCCACCTCTCCTTTCATCATGTTCGATCATCAAGTATACCCCATTTTTAAGTATTAGTTCATTAGAGAAATATCCATAGCCTGCACATCCAGAGGTCATGACTTCGTGTCATGCATAATGTACATGATTCTCTCAGTCTACGCCAGCCTTGGGTACCTGATGGAAGCTGATTCACTTGCATCTCCTGCTACATGTACATGGACTGAATTAGCGTGAAAAAGAATTTTGAAGAAGACGAGTTCGAGTATACAGTAATGCATTGCCATAATTTCTACTCTGGGTTTCATTGAAAACACTATCAGCATGATCTCCGAGCCCTTACAATGCAGACCGCCTGTACTGATAATGCGCATTGTACACGATTGTGCAGCCTACATACAACTATAAATGTACATGTACCTGTACATGCAGATCTAGACAGTTGTCTAAAGTCCTTAGGCTGCTTACAGTGCTCAATGCCCACTGGACAGAGCCAGTAATACAAATATTACACAGCAATGAAGCAAACAAATCTCTTTCCGCTGTTACTCGGAGTTTCGTGTGCAAAAACTCATCAGACAGCATATGCTGTCTGCTGTGTGATGAGTGTTTTCACGGGAAACTCAGAGTAACAGCGGAAAGAGATTTGCTTGCTTCATTGCTGTGTAATATTTGTACATGTACCTGTAGTAGTAATGTGGTACAATCATGTAGTTATGCCCCTACCTCCGAAAGGATGCCAGATTTTACTCCAAATTTCCAGCCACCAAATTATGCCAATAATTATGCTGGGATAATCCGCCGGTGCCTAGTGGTGAACTGTTGGCATGCTGTGACAGTGTGGTCATCAGCAATGTCCGTGCTCATCACACGTCATTGAGGTCAGTAGTTTTTTGTAATAGTTTTTTTTACTATGTTTACATACCGAATTCTCAAATAATAATGAAAGACAATGGTATTGAAAGAAGGACAACCGTGACAACTACTGAGTAGGGGCTTCACCGAGACGCAGCAGTGATGGTGGGGCATTCATGGCTCTGCCGACCTGAGGTCTCGGCATCACGGCCAGAAACCCGCACCAAAAACAAAATCAGCAAAATAAAAAAATGAAAGCAAGGGCTAACATCAGCTAGTGTGCAGCGCATTCATACATGTACATGTAGTACTCTAGGCTGATGCTCCATAGCTGTATCCTCCTCAGGGTAGTCCGCTCAATTCGCCCAAGTTAGTCGAACGTGTGAAAAAAGGAGCTACCAATTCGGGTTCTTACTAGTCTCTGCGTGGTTGTGAGGGAAGAGTTGATTTGGGCACTACATGAACCAACAATAGTGCTACAATTACAAATACCCGTATGATCATAAGCATGGGCAGTTGCTTCATAACGTTTTCTTTCATGTTTTCTTCTACAGTAAAACTTTGTTTAAGCGACCACACCACGGTGCAAGCAAAAGAGGTCGCTAAAGCAAGGTGGTCTTTAGAACCAGGTCCCACAGTGTCTGTGTAGAACTGTCCGTGCATGGAGGAACGGTCGGTAAGAGCAGGTGGTCGCTAAACCCAGAGATCGTTTACACCAGGCTTTACTGTACATGTATTTTACATTTTTTGTTGACATTTATTTCTGGAGTTCTGCTTTTCCTCTGTTGCATGCGTATTAGCATCTCATTGATACCGCTAGTTCCTCATTCTTCACTCCATTAATTTTGGCCTCAGCGAAGACTAGCCAAGCTTGCTTGGCGATGTCAACGCGAAAAGGCTGATGATATTAATACTGAGTATCCGATTTGAAAAATTCATAGCTAGAAAATCCGAGGATAGTTGATTTACGGTAATGGATTTCAAATGCCAGGCACCAAGAAAGTAAAGAGACATTATGGATACGAGTTAAGAGTAACTCTCCATCGCTGTAACATGATACTTTATACAGTCAGAAAGTGCAATAACTAGGCTCAAAACTGACAGAGGTGTGCTGCTTTGCTGCTTCGAATTGTAGTTAGACCGCTTTGTCAGATATCGCACTGGTCTCGGCATCCGTTCCTGTAACAATCGACATTCTTTGTTCCGTTAGGACTGTAGCTTTTGCTCGTTTTCGTTGCGCTTGCCTTCCCCTCTTTGGTCTTTTCCATAACCTTGAACCTTCCAAGTTGGAAGGCTGTCGGTTAGCGCTACGGAGATGTGTTGAAGCTAGGTGTCAGGACGTCGAATGTCTCAGTACTCTGTCAGTTTTGGGCCTAGTTATTGCACTTTCTGACTGTATAAAGTATCATGTTACAGTGATGGAGAGTTACTCTTAACTCGTATCCATAATGTCTCTTTCCTTTCTACATTTATTTATGGCTCAACATCCGAGTTTTACAATTGCACACCAAGAAAGTAGAGAACCTTTTGTCATCAAGTGTACAGTGTTTTACTCTCTCATTGCTTTTAGATCCATGTGTTATGGCATTTTTATTTCCTGCATTTTTTTCACGGGGAAGGCGGACAGCCTGAACATGCTGGTGATCAATGAATCGTTTTGAGTTTTGCCCGTACAAGAGGCGGTTCGGTACCCTTAAAAAGGTAGAGAAATTAACCACACGCCGGAGCATCATGTATATGTAAATACGTGACTGCTAATACACGAGTACATTTACATTTTGTACATACATGTATACATGTAGATACATGTACAATGTAGATAAGAGCCTCTTTGACCGGCAAAAAAAAGGATCCGTGAAACCAGTACGTACATGTGTAGCGGGCCGCAGTCTCTCGGAGGCAAAAATACAAGGGTATCAGTGAACACACTGTAACAGGCAATTGAAATGTACTGGAAACGAAATTAACTATAACTGGAATTAACTGACTGGCAACTAAACTAACTAACTGGCTATAAAAGAATCGTGAGCAGCAGCTTTGATACAAAGGCAGACTCCGTACGCTAATGTACGGGGATACGCTAACGTACATGTATGGGGATACAGTACGGGGACATGCTATACTCTAAACACTAAACGCTATACGCTTTGAAGTCACCAGCGTGCCAACGCTACACGTGTATAAACACATGGATGAACGTACATGTACATGTACATGTAAATCCAGATTTTCACAGAAAGGAAGAAAAATCCTCAGTGAAAAACACCGATAAACGGTGCAATAGCTACATGTACGTGTACATGTACACGTACATGTATGCAAACTCAATACAAGACAGTAGCTGAGGTGCAGAAATCAGTTCTCTCAGATCGAATTGTGGGTCGGTGATATAGCTGATAGGAACAGGCTAGTGGAAAGCACAATTATGTTATAATCGGCGCTGGTGAAATCTAAATAATTATGAAGAGTGCACAAGTAAAATGTGAGCGATCCTCAGGCAACATACATTTGTAATGGGACAAATGTGCATGCAGAGTGACTGTACACGTGAAGCCCAGCTGATACGCGTGCGAACACGTACATGTACATGTAGATATACTCACTCAGCGCTGAGATAGAACGATATGAACACGTACAAGGACAAGAAAGAGAGTAGACCAAGGAAGAACAAAACAAAAATCAAAACAATGTTGCACATGTACATATATAATACATGCTGTACCTGTACATCTACATACGAGTGTCAAAAACTAATCGAAGGTCAAAACAAATTTATTTAAATGAAAACATCATTAAGGCGCAGGCTTTACTGTCCGAATGCCTGAAACGATAATGGCTCCAGTGTTTTGAATGCATGTACGTTGTACATTGTACATGTATCTACTTGTAAGTTTAACAATTACAATGTACGATATACATGTGTGCTGCAAGAATTGTCACCCTGCGCAGCGGCGGCGGTACATACATGTACATCTACATGTACATGTAGGATAGCCGACTGGAATGCAGTCGTACTACATAAACAAAGTGCTTAGCGCCAGGACTGCTAGCATGCTTAGGCTTGGCAGGATGGCGTTTCCAGAACTGCAATCTCCTGGGGTGGCCGCATTCTCGACGCAGTCGCGCACGCTTCTGCAGGGAGCGCCAGCATTGCCAGACAGGCACGTGCAGTTGTACTGGGCCGAAATGACGGGTGTGCCGAAAACCGAAACATTGGATAGTCCGCTTGTGCATGTCGCTGAGCCCAGGGCATAGTTGAAGCGGCGAAAACAGTAGTTGTGCTCTTCCAGACACAGATCATTGTCTAATAATGAACGATCCACGTAGGGAAAATAACAAGAAAAGTACAATAAAACGGTTAACTAAAGTAAAACCTGTAACTAAAGACCACCGTGACTAGCGACCAGCCTGGTACTACAGTAAAACCTGTAACTAAAGACCACCGTGACTAGCGACCAGCCAGGTACTACAGTAAAACCTGTAACTAAAGACCACCGTGACTAGCGACCAGCCTGGTACTACAGACCATTTCGCCTGGAACGCACGGCTTCACGTTCCAAATGGTTGTGCAGTGCAAACCTGCAATAACATCTCATGTACATGTACTTGTACATGTAAATCTAGTAAACTTTTTTCTACAGAATCGCAATTCAAAACACGATACTGTAAACTCGGAAATTCAAACGACCAAAAAAGTTTAACGTTTTTGTAAATTTTGCAGGATTACGTGCAGAAAGTTTAACGATGGCTAGCTGGCGGCCCATGTGTATGCGCATCTTTACACAGACATCTAGCCATAACGTGTTTTTCAAATAACGAAAAATAATTGGTCGTTACAACGTTAGACGTTGTGACTCGTTAGACTTTCCGGTTTTACAGTACACGTAAACTGTGATTCTGGAGAAAAAAAGTGAACTAGACACTTCCTATACATGTACATGCGGTGGTGTTGAGTGATGTGTAAGAATGCTTTCGAGAATAGCAATTAAAACAGTAGCACAATAATTAGACAGTTTCGAACTTGATTAACCCGGCTGTTTCCTTTCTCTCCGCCCCCCCCCCCCCAATTCATACATTTACATCGCAGCTATTGCTTATAGTAATATTGGCGAGCCATACTCCATATGTTTAATTCCATGAGAATTGTTAAGCACACATTCTCTTTCCCTCAAATTGCAAAGAAGCAGAATTAGAGTGTTTATAACTTTTTTGGACTATTGGTATTTTTCCTATTTTACTTCTGTGCTATAAATCATCCTATTCTCTGCGGCTATCCTCTCTCCTTACCTATTGGTATACATGTTCTTGTACTTAGGGGCCAGCGGATTCTACTCGAAAAGCAGTGAAATAGGCAGACCCATACAAACCGTATGGTGGGCAATTCCTCGAAATCTGCTCCATTTTTTATCCACATACCAAACATGCATGAAACTTACCAGGAAAAGTACCAAATTCTGCCAATTATTCTGCCGTCAGAATCCGCCGGACCCTACATGTACTTGAAGTTGGTAGACATGTACATCTATCTGCGCTGCTTCAAATCTTCCTTGTTGCTGTCTGATGGTTAGTTGTTCAACCATGACATAATGACTCATATTATAATAATTATACTTCGAGTACAACATTGGGTATAGTGAGTCACTTCAAACAAACCCTCTCTTCCTTTGCGTGCCTTCTGTGTGCTAGAATTATGTGGAGAGCAAACCTGCTGGATATCGCGCGACACATACTTGTATTGGACTACGGATGTTGCTGCCAGGAAACAACTTACACAGCGTTACAGTAGCGTCGTCGCTCGTGGATCCCTTCGTAGCGCACCTGAAATGGATAACTGCACGGATGTTAACGAGGCTATTGTCAGGCATGCCTACCCCTGCGACGCGCAGGACAATCGTTTCCGTATTCTGGCCGATGATGGTGAAGTCCGTTCCCTCAGGTAGTACTGCCGAATCATCGGCGAACGACCAGGTGACTGGCAGATTACTAGGGTTGCCATCCATATCGACACACGTTGCGCTGAGCGTGCCTGCACCAATCAAGTCCGCTTGGTCGAGCATAACGCGGACATCTGCAGCAAGGGAAGAGGCATTAGAAACGAAAATGGCAGCGGGAGAGGATCAATAATTGAAAGCCTAGTTTAAATCAAAAATTGGCAATCTGAATTTGTTTTGTACAAATCTAGTTAACTTTAAAACAACTGTACCTCCTACACTTTGAAACCCGTACGGTTCTTCATCGTTGCATTTCAACATAGAAAATCCATGGATATCAATTTTTATTGTTATTATTATCAGCATTTTCGCGTTGTCATCGCCAAGCAAGCTTGGCTATTCGTCCACTAGGCCAAGTAGAATGCAGAATGAGGAACGAGCGGGGTCAATGGATAATAATTATTTAGGAAACCAGAACATGAAGGTTTTAGAAAAATCATTGCATACCGTAATTCCGCGCATATAATTATAAGCCCGCGGGCCTATATCCTGATATAAGCCCACCTCCGTTTATAAGCCCATGGGCTAATAAACAGACACAAATGCAACTCGCGTGTCAAGTAGAATTTTTCACAATATGGACTCTTCCTACCATGGTACAGCAGGTCAGTGCAGTTTACCAGTAGAGTATGGTACACCAACTATGGCCACGGACTTGTACTTTTTCGGGAACCGTCAAAATTCGAATATTGGCCCATGGGCTAAAAAACGAACACGTTTTACTGGAAAGTTTATCCCCAAACTGCATTATTTCATATTATAAGCCCATGGGCTTATATGCGCGGAATTATGGTAGTTATGGTGTGGCAGAATTCATAGAGCAGCAGGTGTATTTAGTGTTATGTTCTCATGGTGTGTAAAACTAGTCCTTGGCGGATATTGCTCGATAAATTGGCTATCATGTTTGTTATATCCAGATTGATATTCACTCGCCTACTTTTCAAGCATCCATCCGGCGTCCTGTACTTGCCCACATGTGCCCCACACTATCCATCTCAATCTAGGGTTTGACTAAGGTGGGCTTGACAACCAGGGCGGTGTTCGTGCCAAAGAACGAATATGTAGGTCACCTTACATATACGTTTAATAGTTTAATATTACCTTCAGCCTCGGGATCATGGGCTGATACTCACTTCGGCTTCACATGTAGTATTATAACGTATGACTAATGTAGCAATAGGCTTACTTTGAGCATGTCCAGAACTGACGAATGCGACCAGAATCAGCAGAAATGCACCGACGCTACCTCTTACGGAGCAAGAACATTGGAACAGAAACGCCATTGCAGCAATCTGGTACGTTTATGTGAGTCTCAGAAAGTTCAGACCAGTTTGGCTTGCTGAAAATTGCTTTGTGAGTTGGCAGCCTCTTATCGCCTGACCAAGTACAGAAGTTGAAATTCTCTTCCAGGTAGGTTTCTCTTGCTCGGCTTTATGAAACTAAAATAGTTACTGAGGAGGGAGCAAACTCAGCTCTCTTTTATAAGGACCACGAGGGACCGCCTGGAACAAGTTGGTAGAAATAATGATGCTTGACCCGAGCTGAAGATGCAGCGCAACAATCTGCCTGACAGGCACTGCCAATTCAGCTTCCATGCAGCATTGCAGGAGCATGATTTGTACAAAATGCCAAGGTAAATCAACAGGTACATGTGGGTGTCCAGCTTGCTGGCGGAGTGCACTGTACATCTGAGATCTAGTGTTCACAAGTAAGTAACACGTTAGTTGCCGCACAGCAGTCAAACCGAAGCCCCAGGAATGGAGACAGTATCCATCAACGGTTCCTTGAATCCTGTCCTCTGCGCCGCAAGGCTGTACTATGAAATAACGCGTGGGCAGAAATTCGCGGCCATTGTGCCGAACTGCATTGTGCCGCACTGCATTTGGATCTCTCCAAAAATACCTATCACTCTCGTCTTCATGATCAGAACCCTAGCCAGCCCTGGGTAGAGTTCTGTATCGTATTGGACTAATAATAATGACGTGCACTGCAGTGATTATGTTCCACACAGTATTGCCATTGAATGATTGATCCCGGGTATGAATGGTTCGATTTAGTCATTGTCCTCACTGTGCGTGTACATGCACATGACTATTATCTACAGTGCTCGCAACTGAAATCCAACCCCTGAGCGGTGCGCTCACATCGCAAAGACCCATCACGGGATAGTAATAATTATTAATAATAATAATAATTCGCGGGATTCGCGTTGGCATCGCTTGAATGTTCAGAAACACACAAACTAGCCTTCGCTTCCGCAGGCCACCACTATGCCTATGCCTTGCACACCTTAGTAATAATATTACTGTACGAAAATGCATACATGACTGTAGAGACCGCTAGAGTGTAGACGAATCACTAAGTGGTCGGTTTTCAGTTGCCAGCACTGTAGCTTGACACAATGTCATGACAGATCCTACTCGACTCAGGCTGCTGGTCTTCGACCATTCGCACTTGGCCTGTCGTTGGGTACCCGGGATACTGGGGTGCTAGCATCATAATAATTAAATCCAATGCTACGCGCCACTAGCTGTTCCTAGAATGAGGCACTAGAGCTGGCTGTTTATTTTTACAGACAGATCAATAAGTTCTACTTGGCCTCGGAACTGTTCAAGCAACGTACATCATACATAGTACAAACAAGGCCGGTCTAGGAAGCTCGAGGTAGACTGCTCAATGTACGAATGTACAGAGCAGTATTCAAACACAACAGAGGCGAAAGGCTGTGTTAAGCTGCAACTTCAAGTAAGTAATTCTCGCATCGGAGCGATCATCAGACAGCAGCATTCACCGGCTGAATGCTGCTGTCTGATGATCGCTCCGATGCGTGAAACTACTAGAAGTAATTAGTTACAGATATTAAACACAGCCTTTCGCCTCTGTTGTGTGTGTCATACGTACATGTAGTACAATACATGTACCTGAGGTATCGAAAGTAGTTTGATTCATCGATAGTGTTGGTACTGAGTGCGCACGTCACAGACCCTGGCCTGGGGAGAGAGAGAGAGCACTGTGCACTGAACCACCAATCTTAAAAATGGATAATTTAGAAAATTTCTGATGGGCACGAATGATATTGTTCCTACCCCGCTGTTGTTCATTCTCGGACGGCCACATGTTTGCAACGTTACTACGGAAAGTGACCGTGGTGAAGAAAAAATATAATATATTCACGCAATAAAACGAGTGAGTTGCGCACACTTACTGTATGCTTTTACTAGTCTGGGCTCGGCTGGCGATTTTGTAGCTACATGTATACATAGGCTCTGGCGGATTATGCTCGCGGAATTAAATCATGGAATTGTGCTTTCATGGATTCTCGCACTACATGTATGTTCGCAAAATCATCATAATTATTAAGCTTTGGCATGCTGTGATACATATCCACTTTGTTGTACTTATGCAGCCTCAAAGTTTGGAGTAATATGCGTTTTCGTGCTTGAAAGTGGCCATATGTACAACACAAAGTTAATACATGAGTATCCCCATACCAAGGTGTCCACGCATGCTAGAGATCAACATGGAAAAGATAAAACATTTCTTCTTCTACTCATTAGTTGACTTCTTTTGTAAAAAGATTTTTTCATTGCCAAATTAGTTTGAGTTGCTGGCTAAGCATCCGAGTTCTGCTATTCCTCTGTTGCATGCGTATTAGCACCTCATTGACACCGCTCGATCATCATTCTTCATCTCATTAATTTTGGCCTCAGCGAAGACTAGCCAAGCTTGCTTGGCGATGTCAACGCGAAAAGGCTGATAATGGTATTACTAAGTATCCAGGTTAAAAAATGTATAGCTACAAAATTCACACGGGTCACAGAAAACCGCATTTAATTACACAAAACCTTTCTAAAGTTATTCCAAATCCAAGCGAATGCAGTCGAAAATCAGCGATTTTTCAAGTGCCCACTTTCAAACGCGTTGTACTCAACTGTCAGCTGACAGCCATTTGGTCCCTTTTCTCATCACAGGGCTCAAGTGTGAAGGTAAGCGCCAATGGTAACTGGGCGGATCAAGTACAGAGCAGTATACACACACAACAGAGGCGAAAGGCTGTGTTACCTGTAACTAATTATTACTTCAAGTAGTTTCACGCATCGGAGCGATCATCAGACAGCAGCATTCGCTCCGACGCGTGAAACTTACTTGAAGTTGAAGTAAGTTACAGCCAACACAGCCTTTCGCCTCTGTTGTGTGTGTATACTGCTCTGCACATTCGTACATTGAGCACTCTACGTCGAGCTTCCTAGACTGGCCTTGTTTGTACTATGTATGATGTACGTTCCTTGAACAATTCTGAAGCCAAGTAGAATTCAAATTAATGATCCGTTTGTAAAAATAGACAGCCAACACTAGTGCCTCATTCTAGGAACAGCTAGTGGCGCGTTGAATTGATCATGGAGTGGAGCGTAGCATTGGAATGCATTATGATGCTAGCACCCCAGTATCCCGGGTACCCAACTGCAGGCCACGTACGAATGGTTGAGGACCAGCAGCCTGAGTCGAGTAGGATTTGTCATGTGTCAAAATACAGTGTTGGCAACTGAAATGCGACCCCTTACTGGCCTTAGTGATTCGTCTACACTCTAGCGGTCTCTATAGTCATGTAATTTCGTACAGTAATTTTACTATGCCGCGTTGGGTCTTTGCGCTCAGGGGTCGGATTTCAGCTGCCAGCACTGAAGTGTAGATATAGTCATGTACATGTACTGCACATGCACACTCATCTAATACCGGGAATCAATCATTCAATGGCAATATTGTGTTGAACATAATCACTGCAGTTCACGTCATTATTATTAGTCCAATCCGATACAGAACTCTACCCAGGGCTAGCTAGCGTTTTGATCATGAAGCCGAGAGTGATAGGTATTTTTGGAGATGCAAAATGTAGTGCAGGACAATGCAGTGCGGCACAATGGCCGCAAGTTTCTGCCCAAGCGTTATTTCATAGTAAAGCGTTGGGGCGCCGAGGACAGGAAGGCAACGAAGTGTTGATGGGAAACTTCTCCATTCCTGGGGCTTCGGTTTTACTGTTGTGCGGAATTTTACTTGTGTGTAGTAGATGTCAGACGTACCCTCCGTCAGCCAGCTGCACACCCACATGTACCTGTTCATTTACCATGGCATTTTGTAGAAGTCATGCGCCGGCATGGAAGCTGAATTGGCAGTGCCTGTCAGGCAGAGTGTTTCGCTGCATCTTCAGCTCGGGTCAAGCATCATTATTTCTACCAACTTGCTCCAGGCGGATAGCCGTTCCCTCGTGGTCCTTATAAAAGAGACCTGAGTTGACTCCTAGACCCTCAGTAACTTTTCAGTTTCATGAAGTCGAGCAAGAGAAACCTTCTTGGAAGAGAATTTCAACTTGTGTACTTGTTCAGGTGATAAGAGGGTGCCAACCCATAAAGCAATTTTCGGCAAGCCAAACTGGTCTGACAGGAGCTCTACTTTCTGAGACTCACATAAACGTACGTGATTGGTGCAATGGCGCTTCTGTTCCAATGTTCTTGTTCCGTAAGGGGTAGCGTCGACGCATTTCTGCTAATTCTGGTCGCACTCGTCAGTTCTGGACATGCTCAAAGTAAGCCTATTTCCATAGTAATCATAAGCTATAATACTATGTGAAGCCGAAGCGAATATCATCAGCCCATGATCCCGAGGCTGAAGGCAACATATGTATGTGATATTCATATTCGTTCCTTGGCGCGAACACCGCCCTGGTCGTCAAGCCCACCTTATATTAGTCAAACCGTAGTTTGAGATGGATAGTGTGGGGTACAGGTGGGCAGGTACAGCACGCTGGATGGATGCTTGACAAGTTTACGTATCCTCCAAGGGCTAGAGGTTTATGCGACATATTAGAGAGGTTAAGATGCACGTTATTTCTGACGTGACGCGAAAGTTCAGCTCGCGTTATTTGCTCGCACGTCGAAAAATCAACGCGAGTGACCTGCTGCTCACGTCGAAATTCCCAAATTTGACGTGAAATTGCGCATCACGTCGGAAATAACGTGCATCTTAACCTCTCTATTAACACACCACTAACTATACCTGCTTGTCCATGAATTTTGCCACGCCCTAAAAGATATAAAAAATCACGGTTCGCGTGAGACTCGGCCAAAGGCCCAGTTTTCCGCATCCCCAGGAATGCCACCAGCCTCTTCGATCAAGGCGCAGGTGCAGCTCCTAAGCGGAGGGAGGTGAGCAGATCAGTCCCACCACAAAGTGGTAAAAGACCGAAAATCCGATTAACTACCCGTACATTGTACATCCATGTTTCCCTCGTGCCAGGCCACTAGTTCCCAAAAAACTGTGGGTCGCAACACGGCTGGCAAAAATACTTCTGCTGACAAGCAGGACATGAACCTGGTACCCTCTGGTCACGCCACGCCATAACTATGCAATAATTATTACTAAAACTTTCAAGTAGTGGTTTTCAAAATAATTACTATTATCCATTGACCCCGCTCGTTCCTCATTATTCATTATATTTGGCCTAGTCGAATAATAGCCAAGCTTGCTAGGCAGGCAGGCATAGTGAGATGGTCTAAGACCATGATTGAGAAACAGAGGGTACCAGGTTCAAGTCCTGCTTGGAAGCAGAAGGATTTTTTCCAGCTGTGCTGCGACCCACAGTTAATCGAGAACTCGTGGCCTGGCACGAGGAAAACATGGATGCAATGAATGGGATTATCGGCCTTTGAACACTTGCTGGTGAGCTGATCTACTCACCTCCCTCCGGTAAATCAGCCTCTATCTTGTATTTTTATCACGTATGACCTTCCAAGCTGGAAGGCTGTTGCTGATTGCCAGTTAGGTGTAGCACGTCAGTACTGATGGTCAGTGTGGTGCAATGTTATCACATGAGCTGATTGTAAATTAACTGGTGGTGTTAGTGGACATCAGTAGTAGTAGTAGTAGTAGTATTTATTATTTGACTAAGGGAGTCCCAACAGGCATGGCCTAGTTACTGAGAACCCTAGGTGAATCTTTGCAGGGTGAGCAAAAGTACCAGCAGATTGTGCCTGACGATCGCATAACTTGTACCTTTTTTGGTTCTCTTTTTTCTTCTAATAAATTAATCCTTGGCTCTCTACCCGATTCTAATACTAACTGTAAGTGACGATGAAAAATCATTGTTATATTCATACGGGTTTCAAAGTGAAGGAGGTATAGTCGTCTTGTACGTATCTAGATTTGTATGACAAAAAAATCGGATTGCCAATTTTCGACGTAAGATAGACTGTTAATCATTGATCCTTTTCCGCTGACGTTTTCGTTTCTAATGCCTCTACCCTTCCTGCAGATGTGCGGGTTATGCTCGACCAAGACGTCTTGATTGGTTTAGGCACGCTCAGCGCAACGTGTGTTGATATGGATGGCAACCCTAGTAATCAGCAAGTCACGTGGTCGTTCGCCGATGCTTCGGCGGTCCTACCTGAGGGAACGAACTTCAGCATCAGCGGCCAGAATTCCGAGACGATTGTCCTGCGCGTCACCGAGGAAATCATTCCTGGGAATGGCTACGGTAACCCACGTGCTAGTATCTATTTCAGGTGCGCCACGCAGGGATCCATAAGCGAAGACGCTTCTGTAGACCTGTGTAAGTCTCCTAGTAGGATCTCAAAGTGTGGCGCGATGACCTGCAGGTTTTCTCTACAGGTATTTCTAGAACGCGGGAGTTACGCAGAGGAAGTGAGGGGTTTTGGAAGTGACTCATTATACACGATGCTGTATCCTATACTATGAGTCATTACGTCATAGCATTATGTCATTATGTCATAGCATTATGTCATGGTTGAACAACTAGTACTGTAACCATCGGCCAACAGCAAGGGAGACTAGAAGCAGTGCAGGTACATGTACATGACTACCTATAGCAATAGCTACCCTGCGAAGATGGCAGCACACAATAGGCGTATTCATAGCACAGAGGTAAATATTGATAGTGTATGTATTTATACTAGTAGTTCACAAATGCTATAAACACTGTTTCTTTGCAATTTGAGGGAAGGAAAATGTGTGCTTCACATTTCGCATGGAATTAAACTTCTGGAGTATTGCTCACCATTATTATTAATGCCAAAGTAAAGTAATAAAACACAATACAATACAATTATTCAAAGCCATAACTGCGCTGTTAATGTATGAATTGTGTGGGAGGGGGGGGGGGAGACAGGAATTAGCCTGGTCAATCAAGTTGGTAACTGTCAATTTCTCGTGTCCTCTGTTTCAATTGCCTTTCACGAGCGCATTCTTAGATATCACTCACTTGTTTATACGCAGTATGGCATGCGCTCTATTTCTTTTCTGGCGGCAGGCAGGTGGAACTCTCTTCCAGCTGACTGTCGACAGGCCCACACTCTTGCTCTGTTCATTAACATGGTTAAACCTCAGCTAGGGTTCCCAGTAAAAAAGGCAGTAGCCTGTTGGGACTCCCCTAGTAAAATAATTAAAAAAACTATTACTACTCAACACCACAACACCGGGTGCAGTTTGTAGCAGACTTTGGTTCTCCAGAATCACAATTTTCATGTACTGTGTTTTGAAGTGTGATGCTGGAGCAGCAAAGTGTGCTACTTGCTTCACGTACATACATTTACACTGTACAATGAACCTGATAGTGCATCTGGTGTTTTCATGTTTAAGGATGTCTGCATCCTTCATACTGTTGAAGTACTATTCTAACTGTTCTTTTCTGTTGTTTTTCTCATCGCCGATTGTGCATTATTAGACAGGGATCTGTGTCGCCTGGAGTACCTCTACTGCTTTAGTCGTTTCAATTATGCAGTGGGGTCGGCGACATGCACAAGCCGATTATCCAATGTTTCGGTCTTCGGCACACCCGTCACATCGGCCCGGTACGACTGCACATGCCTGGCAGGCAGTGCTGGTGCTCCCTGCCGAAGCGTGCGCGACTGCGTCGCGAATGCGTCCGACGTACGAGATAGGCTTATTCAGTGTGGAAACCTCTTCCCGGAACGTAAGCAGCACCATCGATCTGTGCGTCAAATCAATTAATTACTTGTCAAATTTTATTGAACAGTCCATCCAGCTATCAAATCCAGGATGAACAGTGTAAGCAACTTTCATGTACGGAGCTGTGAATCAGGTTGTATTGCATAGCGCATGGGCGCACACATCCATAGAACTGATCCCAAGCTCGGAAAATCTTTGCCCGTCCATGAATCGGTCCACCCTGGTTTAAACATGTAAATGTACATATTTTCTTACAGTTCGTCCAGAAAAGAAGGTCATCAGTAATAAATCTTGGCTAAATAAAGAATGGACCAAATGCTAGGAGCGACGTCCTCCTTCTATTTCCACATGATTACATTGGCTCGATATCCAGTTCATATGTACATGTACATGTAATAGGTATAATGTACATGAGTTAACTCGGATGGAGGGCCAAGGATTAGAGTCAAGGATTAGAGTCAAGGATAAAATCAAAAAGAGAAGACCATAAGTTTACAAGTTTTTTTCCGTTTTGTCCAACACTGACGATTATAAGCAGGATGCTGTTGAGTCAAAATGTGCAACAATTAGCACAAAACTAGCTGGTGAGATATTCATCATCTTCTCGCTCCACATACACCGACATAACGACATGGACCCAGACAACAGAGACAGGAAACACAGAGTGAGGGTAGTAGGCCGTAGCCAGATGTGAACCAGAATGCAGAAGAAAACTAGGAGCAACAAGAGGGGGACAGACCCCAGGAGGAAGGAATTAGCATATTCTTCTAACATAATAAGTCAGGACAAGCACCACTTGGGACCGTCAGATTAATTTCTCTGGACCGAGCCAGCCGGGAAAAAACCCTCGCGCCGACGGACGCACGAATGAGGGACAAAAACGGGTGTATAACCCCAAGTGGCAACCTGGCAGCATAAAAACAGGCACAACATATCTACAGCCAAGAAAGAAATGGAAGAAGATGGGCAGACATGAATGGTGGGAGGGTGGGGGCACTGTTGAGACACAAAAAACTGACTGACGGAGTCAGGCAAAAAGAATAGCAACAAAAAGCGAAAACATCAGATTCCATATTCGCAAGACAAATAATTTTGTTGCGCGAGAAATCATTTCTCGCCTCACTCGCTCCGCTCGGCCGGCGAGAAATAAAACATCTTGTCATAGCTAACATTCCTAGTTCGCTGTGATGTTTAGCTTGTTTTCGTCCAGAGTGCGCTCACCATCCACTTTCTTAATTTACTTTATAACTTAGAACCGTCCAAGTTTGAAAGCTGTTGGTTTGCGCATTCCAGACGTGATGCTAAGCATCAGGTCGTTAAAATGTCTGTATCTCATCAGTCCGTTTTGCGCTAATTGTGGGATTTTGTTGCACATTTTGACTCGACAGTGACCTGCTTATAATCGGTAGTGTTGGACAAAATTTGTAAACATAATTATGGTCCTCTCTTTTTAATTATATGTAAAGTTTTAATTATTGTGTAAATGGGTGACCATTTCCAGGATTTTCCAAATTATTTTCACTAATCAGTATGGACTACTCTTCCAATAATGTTTTTGATGTGTATTTCCGCAAGTCGGTTGGTTGGTATATTTTATTTTACTTCGCCAGAATGAACAGGCATTCCTGCCTTCTTGCCTGGACAATTGGATTGTCCAAGCTCTCACAAAAAGACGAAGAAAGGAAAGAAATATTCGATGAGAGTGTGAAGCATGCAATCTTATAAGAGAAAATTCCATGAGAGTGTGATGGGAGTGGAGAGATAGATAGATGGAGGCAAGTATTTCGGCCTTTAGTATTTTTGACCAGGCTTAGCCTTGATAACGTTACAGACATCAGGATGTCCAATACCTACAGTGTTAATGTACTCCTAGCCGAATAAAGATTGGGTTTAGACTGTTCGTTCCTGGTTCGGCTTAAAACAGGACAAAAAAGGGTAGAGATTCATGACATTGCGAGAATTATCAACCAGTGCTCTTCTTTTTCCCCGTTTTCTTCTCATCTCAGTTCTCAGTGTGACGCCTTCCTCCGCGGTTGTATTCAGTGGCTCCAGCGTCACCTTCAACTGCACCAGCGTATTGCCCATCACATCAGCAGGGGTGAATTGGACTGTCCCTCCAGAATTGCCAAGGGACAGCTTGCGCATCTCAGGGGAAGGAGGCAACACGCTCACCATCGACCCTGTCACCGCCGACCTCAGTGGTGACTCACTCTTGCCATCCAACGTTATCGTATCGTGCTCTGCGAGCGTCGTTGGTACCAGTGCACTGGCCTCCGGCGGACTCATTGTTCGTAAGTAACAGTAACCATTCCAATATTTGTAGGAGAAGTAATTCAACGGTTTTTGCCCGCCAGCCTAATATACAAAGTCATGTTAGAGTATCCTGAATGGATAAGACGGTAACATTTAGACGTACATGTACAATGTACAGTAAAACCTGTCAAGGCGACCACTCGGATAAGGCGACCACTCGGATAAGGCGACCACTCGGATAAGGCGACCACCTGTCCCAGAAGACCACTGCAGCCAGGACCAAGGGATGCTATTTCCAGTCAAATGACCCTGGATATGGAGACCACCTGGTTACAGAGACAACATTTTGAAGATCCCTTGAGCGGTGGTCGTCTTAGACAGGTTTCACTGTACAATGTACTGCTCACTTCAGGTGATTCAATAACATCAATTTTTGTAATGCGTTACAGGCTGCAATATTCAATGACATGTAGACATATTCATAAATGACATATTATTATTATTATTATTATTATTGATAATAATAACAATAATAAACAAGAAGGTGACAAAACACATTTAGGCACAAGTGGCAACAACGTTGCCACACTACACAACAGAACATTATTTGAACAATTTTAAGGTAATAACACTATCTTTCTGGACACACAAATTCGGCTTATGAATGCGCTGACAAACAGCTTCCAAAACTTGTAACTGCAAAAGATAACCATGACGAGCACGGCACAAAACAGAAAAACAGGAATCAGAATAAGTACGACAACAGTCAGTACTAGAAACCAAATGATTGTATACTGAAGACTTGTTATTACGAGACGGACGCACACAATCTCGACTCACGCGCACACCCTCACACTCACTCTCACCCTCACTCAGCTCACCTTCTCCCTCACTGTCCGAATCAGAACCTGCTCCGTCATCCACCGCGGTTTGACTCTCCTCCTCACTTGCATCGTCCTGCGTCTCACCTTCACCACCCACGCCAACCCTGAATGCCGTTGCCTTCACGTCAGTCGTCGTCCTTTCCGATTGTTTCCTTTGTATTTTTACCGTGAATTCATAGGTCCGGTTGTAATCTGCTGTAGATCTCCGTGGTCTGTCATTTGCTGCTTTGTTTTGTGGATTAGTTGTTGTTGTTGTTGGATGTGAACGGTGATTCCTGAAGAGTGTTGTACGAAAACTTGTTCGAATCATCTTTTTTTTTTCCATTGCCCTTTTTCTTCTTACATGTATTTTTCCTTACCCTTTAGGTTGTTTCTTGCATCGTCTCCATCGCTTACATTGTTAATAAAGTAGTCCACATGTCGCTTCAGCTCGTCCTACTTATTGCCATATTAAAATTATTGTCTCCTCGTCGAATTTTTAAATACTTCAGGTCGAGATATAGCCAGACTCAGATAGATATTCTGAACCATGCGCTGAAGTCACGATTTCATTATCGTAGTGTTGCATTTAACGTAGTGTTCCTTAGACGTTGTCTGGACAATGGTGTTTGTCCAGGTGGTGTAGAGAACCGTGTCCGCAGGACCAAAGCTTACCACACGTTAAACATCGAACGCGTATTCATGAAAGACGAGATTGCCCGGTCCTGCGACACTTTGTCAAAGTCACGTTCGCGGTTTAGGTATTTGTATGATCGTGCACGCTGCTTTCTGTCCTCTCACGACTTCTTGAGATTCTCTATGCTCCTTTCGGAAAATGACCAGAAACAACGTATCCATCTAATCACAAAACATGACAAGACCTACAATTGGCTAAGACAGAAAAGATATGGACATGTCACCATCGATCCTGATACCACCATAATTAACATGACATCACTAGAGTTGACCACTCTTCAGAAAGAGCTCCTCTGTCGTGGAACCGATTTCGGGATTCCACCAAAATCAAACAAGAAGGAAGTAATCATGACCGAGTTTGAGCTCTTTTACCGCAAGTTATTACGCTTCAGACCGGTGTCCGAGTCACAACAGTCCATTTGCGCCGCAAAGATCCGGGCAGAGGCCGAGGAACACGCTGATGCATTACCGGATAGAAGAACGTTTTCATTGAAACGCGAACATCTCAAAGCCCTGCATGAGCTACGCAATAACAAAGACATTATTGTCACGCGCCCTGATAAGGGTCGTGCAACTGTTTTAATGAATAAAACTGACTACATCGAGAAGATGTCCGTTATCCTAAATGACACATCAAAGTTCCGTACACTTGGTCCGGTCAAGACCTGTGATCGAACTGAAAAAGTAGAAAAGGATCTTGTAACTTACCTTAAGAAGCTAAAGAATGAAGAACAAATATCAAAACATGAATTCGATCGCATCAAACCGACTGGTACCCTTCGTCCTAGACTCTATGGCCTTCCTAAAATTCATAAACCTACATGCCCTGTTAGACCAATAGTATCCATGACCGCCTCCCCTCAATACTCTATCTCGAAATGGCTGTGCATCTACCTACAGCCTGTTCAAGATTACTATTGCAAACGCACTGTGAAGGATAGCTTCGACTTTGTTGCGAGGCTTCGTGATAGTCCGGTCCCTCTCAATGCACACATGTGTTCCTTCGATGTTGTAAGTCTCTTTACGAATGTTCCTATTGATGAGACTGTTGACATCTGTATGGATGTATTGTACCGTAACGATGATGTTGATACTCCATGGGTATCGGAAGCGGCGTTTCGTCATTTGATGCTGTCAGTTACAACTGGTGTCGAATTTTCGTTCAACGATGTGATGTACAAGCAAGTAGATGGTGTGGCGATGGGATCTCCTCTTGGTCCCGTCCTCGCCAATATATTCGTTGGTTATTGTGAGTGCAAGATTGATGAGTCGCTTTGGCCCGCGTTCTACGTGCGTTTTGTTGACGATTCGTTCACGCATTTTGACAGTGTTGAGAGCAGTGAATTGTTTCTCGATGTGCTCAACAGCCTACATCCTTCCCTCCGCTTTACTTGTGAGCACGAGCAGTCTAGTAAGTTGTCATTTCTAGACGTGCTTGTAGAGAAGACTGGCTGTGAAATGTTGACTTCTGTGTATCGTAAGCCTACGTTCACCGGTCAGTACATTGCCTTCGATTCATATTGTTCGTCTCAATACAAGGTCAACTTAGTTCGTAACCTCGTGGACCGTGCGGAACGTATTTGTTCGCCCAGTAAGCTGCAGGCCGAGCTCGATTTCCTTCGATCTGTTTTCTTGAAGAATGGCTATCCGGAATTCTTGTTGCGTAAGTTTCTGTCCATGGAGCAGAAACCGAAATCGGTGCCGATTGGTCCACCTCGCTGTCCCGTCTATCTATGTTTGCCATGGAAGGGGCAGGAATCGATCAAAGTGTGTCACGCAGTCAAGTCTATCGTCCGTCGTACTTATTATGCAGTACATTTTGTGCCAGTCTTCACAACAATGCGTGCGTTCACGGTGCGGAAGGACGTCCTACCAACCCTCCACCTCAGTCATGTTATCTACAACTTCGAATGCCGACATTGTGCTAGTCGGTATGTTGGTAGGACTGTTCAGCACCCGAACGCACGTATCAAACAACACACTCCACTTCACATCCTTCCACCCAGTGCGCAATCTGAGAGGCCCAAACGCGGGAGGCCTAGGAAAAACCCATCACCTAGACGGCAGGATAGTTCCCTGCCGCTGTCTGCCGCTCCCCCTCTGACATCTGTGTTGGACGGGCTGGAGCTTGGCAGCTCTTTGGAGGTGCGTGCGGAACCGCCATTGGTGCAGCCCTCGGGTGTGCCTAAGTCTGTGTCTCTGGGTGCTTTGCATGGGGCTGTGCCTCGAGTGGTGACAGCACCTCTGCCTCCCCCTGACCCTCCTCCTTCGAGGTCTGTGTTGGTGGGGAGCACCCGCGGCGGTCGATTTGTCCCACCGGAACCAGAGCTGGATCCAACAGAAAGACCAACAACCATGGCTCCAACAACAACACCAGCTGCACATCCAACAACAACACCAGGTTCACATCCAACAACAACAACAACTAATCCACAAAACAAAGCAGCAAATGACAGACCACGGAGATCTACAGCAGATTACAACCGGACCTATGAATTCACGGTAAAAATACAAAGGAAACAATCGGAAAGGACGACGACTGACGTGAAGGCAACGGCATTCAGGGTTGGCGTGGGTGGTGAAGGTGAGACGCAGGACGATGCAAGTGAGGAGGAGAGTCAAACCGCGGTGGATGACGGAGCAGGTTCTGATTCGGACAGTGAGGGAGAAGGTGAGCTGAGTGAGGGTGAGAGTGAGTGTGAGGGTGTGCGCGTGAGTCGAGATTGTGTGCGTCCGTCTCGTAATAACAAGTCTTCAGTATACAATCATTTGGTTTCTAGTACTGACTGTTGTCGTACTTATTCTGATTCCTGTTTTTCTGTTTTGTGCCGTGCTCGTCATGGTTATCTTTTGCAGTTACAAGTTTTGGAAGCTGTTTGTCAGCGCATTCATAAGCCGAATTTGTGTGTCCAGAAAGATAGTGTTATTACCTTAAAATTGTTCAAATAATGTTCTGTTGTGTAGTGTGGCAACGTTGTTGCCACTTGTGCCTAAATGTGTTTTGTCACCTTCTTGTTTATTATTGTTATTATTATCATTCGTTCTCACTTTTTTGTTTTTTGTTGCTGATACACACTGCACAACATGGACAGGATGGAGAAAGAATAATTCAAGTGGCGGAGCCCCCATTCCCATCTATAATCAAATAGACTATATCTTGTGTTCCACTCGTCAGCGCCAGCTCTTCACAGATGCCAGATCTTACGCTGGAACCCTGCTGGACTCGGACCACCGATTGCTTGTGGCACGAATGAAGCTGGACCGGTTGCGTGGTGTGTGGGGCCCAATAGAGCACGCTAAGAAACAGCGAGTAGGCATGAAAATTGCTGTGGATAGGCTGTCCGATCCACGCATACGGAAGGAATATCAGTCCGCTCTGGAAAATGATATTACCCAACACTGCAGCTGCAAGCCAGAAACAAAGCTAGCCCCTCAGGAGCTATGGGATCAGGTACATACGACTGTGATGGAAGTGGCCAGCGCTACCCTGGGAGCATCAACAAGACCGCCAAAAGGAAAATGGATACCTGACCCACAGCTGACGGCTATGGTTCAAGAAAAGCGGAAAATCCGGCTTCAACTGATGAATACCCCTGATGCAGCAGTAGCAGCACGTCTGAAACTCCACAAAAACCAGCTATCTCATCAAGTTCGCAGGCAAGCCAGAGACAATGCAAGCAGATTATTGGACGGTAAGGTGGCGGAAATTGAGAACCAGAAAGATGACGCGCGCATGTTCAAAGCTGTGCACCTGCTCCAACGAAAGAAACAACAACCCATCACGATAAATGATGCCAAAGGACGACGGCTTTTGAACCCTCAAGACATAGTTGGCGGAATCACGAGTCATTTCCAAGAAATGTTCACTCAGCCTAACACTACCATCCAAACAAAAAATACAGAAAAATTTGCAAAAGAAATCACACAGCAGGAAATCACATCAGCAGCAAGGCGCCTTAACAACGGCCGTGCGACCGGGCCAGACAACATGGCAGGCGAACTTATCAAGTACGGGCCTGCCCCTCTTCACCATGCTCTAGCTCGGATATACAATGCCGCTATTTCCAACAATGAGCCACTCTGTATTGGCGACGGGACTCTTATCCCGCTACAAAAACCTGACAAGGCCAGGGGGCCCCCATCAAACCTGCGACCAATAGTACTGTTGACGGTGTTGCGCAAGGTGTTGTCACTTGTGGCATTGTCCCGCGTAAGCAGAAAAATACATAAATACTTATCTCCCACCCAGAGCGGTTTCAGGCCTAACAGAAGCACCTCGGACGTAATATGGTCTTACCGTTGGGCTATAGCCCGATGCCAACGCCTACAACAGAAGTATGACATTATCGGTATCGACATGTCGAAAGCATTCGATACCATCTCGCGTCCGAAACTGATCAGTGTTCTTGCGTCATTCCTTGACAACGACGACGTTACACTGATTTCATATCTTCTGCAGCACACCACCTTGCAGGTTCGATTGCCGGGAACGGATGGCATTAAGTTCAAAACCGACAGAGGCACCCCACAGGGGGACTCATTATCTCCTGTGCTATTCATCGTGTATCTAGAAGCGGCCCTGCGGGACGTGCGAAATATCTTACCGATCCGGCCACAACTCGACATCGACCTGCACCTCCCAACTGACACATCATATGCTGATGATGTTGACTTTCTGTCATCTAGGGGAGCTGACCTCCAATCATGCCTCCCTGTTATTGGGGACACCTTAAAGCAATGGGATTTGACAGTTAACTCCGCCAAGACAGAATTCACCCATATCGAGAGGTTCAGCGACTGCATTGCAGAAGAATGGAGGCTGACCCGGAAGCTGGGATCGCTACTGGGTGACAGGGAAGATGTATCTCGGCGTATGCAGCTGGCCACAGGTGCGTTTCAACGGCTTTGGGCACTGTGGGTGAGAGGCTCGCAGGTGAGAGAGAACAGACGTGTCAAGCTATACAATGCATTTATCACACCAATACTTCTGTACAATTGCTCAACATGGGGAGTCCCAAGCAATGTCATCAAGCGATTGGAAGCATTCCACAGACGTCAATTGAGAACAGTCGTCGGGATCAAGTACCCTCAAGTCATCAAAAATAGCGAGCTGTATAAACGCACCAACTCCCAGCCCCTTGGGGAAACCATTGTGAGAGCGAGGTGGCGGCTCTTTGGCCATGTCCTGAGACTAAACGACGATGTACCAGCACGCGTTATGATGGCAGCATACTTCGAAAACCCAAGTTCCGCTGCCACCTGGCGGGGCCGGCCACGTACCACTCTGCCACTGAGTCTGCACCAGGACCTGCAGCGTATCGGGGGGTCGCTCAAGAAACGCGAGGAACTTGAGAACCTCCATGCCATCTCCCAGTCACGACAAGACTGGAAAGACCTATGCAGCAATGTGATAAAAGCATACATCAAAGCCTAATAATACTGCTTCCACCTGTGGCAGCTGCATGGCCGTACGGTGTACCATAACATAACTCATTGACTAACATATTTTGTGAAAATATTATCCTGTAAAAGAATAGGAATGTAAACAATATACCTGTGAAAACACAACCTTGAATGCTACTAACACAACCTGTGACTACAATAATCATGAGATCAACCCCAAAACATTTCTTGCAGTTTACTTTCGTAGAGTTTGCAACTTTGTGTTCCTCAACACAACTTGCAGCTTTCTTCAAACATATCCTCAACCTTGGTTCTGTCCTAGATCGTGTATACATACATTCATTGTTTCGTCTCATCATTATGGAGCAGCTTATGCGAAGGCTAGCCAAGCTTGCTTGGCGATGCCAACGCGGAAAAGCCTATAATAATAATAATAATAATAATACACACTTGTCACGATTATTATTATTATTATTTATTGCAACATCTCAAGACTCGGCGGAAACACCGGCCAATGTTACGAGAGTGGGTGATTGCCAACCACGGCGATAAAATTAATACCCATGAGCTACATTGTATATGACAATTTTATCATTATCATATTATCATCGTTCTAGCTCAATTTCTTTCGCCTGTCATAGTCCTGTTTATCATGTTCAGCATAAGCGAAGTTGTGGATCATGCTTGCATGGTCGACTCCAACGCGTACATGCAAGTAATAATAATAATAATGATAATGCGTTACATGTGTTTCACGAGTTTCCATTCAAGCTTTCTAATCACGCGAAATACAGGCCCGGACAGAGTAAACACGGACAACAAATAAAGTACAATGGAGATGCAATAGACCGGTGTAGGGGAGAATATTTGGATCAGATAAAAGTCGCACAAAACGTACTTTGAATAATTTAGACGAACAGATATCAGCCAGGCATACAGTTCCCGCAATCAACTAACAGCTTTAATACTGGTATTCTGTTCGTCCGCGGTCTTTCTGCTCTCATTCCACTAACAACTCCCTCAGAAGTGATAAGCCATTTTGTAACCCAATGCAGGCTGTCATACATGATGTACTACTGGTGCACCTAGAAATTACGGCTGTGACGTCACACGGCATTGCTGTACCATGGTAACGGCAAGTGCGTTGTTTGCTTGCTGTCCTTTCAGGTGACCTTTGCACATGGGAGCCCGACGCGTGCCAGCAGTATTCTCTGTTTCCGCCGGGTAGTGCGCAGTGCGTGTCCTCACCCTTCACTGCTCCTCACTGCGATTGTTTGCCTGGCACTGTCGGTCAGGACTGCAGAGGGCTGGAAAACTGTGCGAGTATGACAACTTCAGCTGAGCCTGATAGTATATTTTTGGACTGTGCACGTGACATTGGCTGCACACTCAATGAGGCAGGTGAGTTGTGAATAGAAAAGAGGAGCTGTGTGCTTACTTGAACCCATATTTTGTCTATCATTCCAGCTGTGTGCGTGCGTGTCTGTGTGCGCGTTTGTGTGTCTGTGTGTGTGTGTGTGTGTGTGTGCGTGCACGTGCGCGTACTTGTCTATGTGTTTGCTTGAGACTGTGAATATGATTGCACATGCTGTTGTTGCGGCCAGTTGATGTACATGTACGTCTGTGTTTGTGTGTCTGTGTGTCGGTGTGTGTGTGTCTGTCTGTGTGTGTGTGTATGTGTGTGTGTGTGTGTGTCTGTCTGTGTGTGTGTGTGTCTCTGTGTGTGTGTGTGTGTTTATCTACATGTACATGTATCCGTCTCTCTATTCACCTTCTCCTATCATTCAATTCGCCCTTTTTGCAAGAATGAGCACTTGGGAATTTTGCGTCCAATCTTATAGAGGAGGGGGAGGAGGAATCTTCCAGCTGTGTTCCTTTACCATGTCTATATTCTGATGTTTTGCGAGTCCTCTTTCATTTCAAAGGTTCATTATTAAAATAATGCTGTTGTTTCTTGCTTGTCTTTGCGGTGCAGGTCAGTTCGATTGCAATTCTGGAAACACCATCCTGCCAAGCCTCAGCATGTTAGCAGCCTTGGCGCTAAGCACTTTGTTCATATAGTACCAGCACACGCCAGTCGCTTATCCTCTGTACCACCGTCGCCGCGAAGGGGACAATTCTTGCAGCACACTTAACTATACATGTACATGTACTGCATATGTACATGTGTATTTTAATTGCAAAACTTACAAGTAGATACATGCATTCAAAATACTTGAGCTATTATCGGTTCAGGCGTTCGTACAGTAGAGCCGTCGCTGATTTGTCTTTCATTGGAATAAGTTTGTTTTGACAATCGATTGGTTTTGACACTCGTGTGTACATGTGTAGCGTCTCTGACGTTCTCGCATCATGACATCATCATTTGTTTGCATGTACACGTCATATTTTCCTCATCATCACAAACACTGATTCACCATACTCTCGCACACATTGTAATACCTACTACACGTACTTCTCTACCATAATAATTACGTAATGTTTGGCTAGCATAGTTCCAATACACATTACGACATCTTTTGATGTTACGCACTCCTCGCCTACAACGCTATTGTAGAAAAGTAGTCTTTACTCATCTCTTGTAAGTTCTGTTTGCATCCAAACACTTCTTCCAAACAGCACACGTCAGATATCTAACAAAACAACAAACTTCATTGCACAGTCTTCTATCACAATCTCTTTCCTATATAAACCTCCTTTCTCTTCACTTTCTTCATGACATTTAGTGTTCGCCAGTCTTGTAAAGATCTTGGAAACTAACACTCGTTGCACTGTATCTAGACTACTAAATTGGTGACCCCCGACGTGAGTAAAGTGCAATATGTCCAGCGACGATAGTTCTTCCGCTTCCGCCTCTGGAGCTTCAGCTGCCGCTAGCTCCTCCGCCCCGGCCCAAAACCAACCACTCGCCCGCAACGACCAACACGACGCACCGGACCGTCCGGTGTCTGCCATCACCTTCCGACTGCCGCAGTACTGGCCCGGCGATCCGCAGCTTTGGTTTGCACAGGCAGAAGCGCATTTTGCCAACCATCGCATCACCAACCCGCGGGCCAAGTATAATGTCGTCGTGAGTTCGCTGGCTCCTGAATACGCCGCTGAGATTCGGGACTTGCTCCTAGCGCCGCCAGCCGAGGAGCCGTACCAAGTCCTGAAAGAGGCGCTCACCGCACGCACACAAAAGTCCGATCAGGCACGGTTGCGTGAGCTACTCTCAACAGCCGACATCGGGGACAGCCGACCAAGTCGCGTCCTCCGACGCATGCAACAGCTTTTAGGCAGTAAGTCGCTAGACCCAACTATCCTGCGCGAGCTATTTGTACAGCGTTTGCCCGTGACGGTCCGCCTGATTCTGGCTGCAACACCTGCAAGCCTCAGCCTGGACGAACTTGCAGCGCTTGCTGACAAGGTGGTTGAAAGCACGTGCTCAACCCCACTCACCGGTACAAGTGTTCACGCTCTGAGTGAAGCCCCTAGCCCTGCTCGGTCTAGTACGTATACGGCCTTATCATGTAGATCTACAGCGTCCACAGATGCGGAACAGGCCTGCACCGCTGACAGGGCTGAGATGGCCCAGCTCCGAGCTGAACTCGCCAAGCTGACGTCCGCTGTGAATGTGATGACCCGTGACACCGGTGCCCCTTCCCAGCGTGGCCGCCAACGAGAGCGTAGTCCCGGGCCACCGTCACGCCACCCAAGTGCCTCCAGGTCTCCCGGCCGTGACAATCACGACGACCTTTGCTGGTATCACCGTGCGTTCGGTGCGAAGGCGAACAAATGCCGAGACCCCTGCCGATTCCTGTCGGGAAACGGGAAGGCCAGCCACTAGTCGCGACCGCTAGTGTGGTTGGCCCCTCGAATACCGCTACCGGTCGCCTACTATTCGTCAAGGATCGCTCCCAGTCCGTCGAGTTCCTTGTCGACACCGGCGCCGCCGTCAGTGTTCTTCCTCCGTCATTCGTAACTCTGTCTCGTCGTGTTCATCGCAATAGCCCTCGCCTCCGTGCAGCGAATCAGAGCAGCATCGCCACGTACGGTCAGCAGCTGCTAGATTTAGACTTAGGTCTCCGACGCACTTTCAAATGGGTCTTCGTCGTTGCTGACGTCAGCTATCCGATCCTGGGTGCGGATTTCCTTGGCCACTTCCAACTCACTGTCGACCTGGCCGCCAGATGTCTCCGGGACTCCACTACTCAACTTGCCGTTGTCGGATCCGCCTCGGATGTCAGCACCTCCGCTACCAACCTGCTGGACACTGATAGCCCTAGTGAGTATTCTGCCCTGCTGAGTGAGTTTCCTGACCTTGTCCGACCGACCACTGGTGACTCGCCTGTCAAGCACAATGTGACACACCGCATAGTCACAGATGGCCACCCCGTCCACGCTAAGCCTCGCCGTCTGGCACCCGACCGCCTTGCTGTCGCTAAGTGTGAGTTCCAACACATGTTAGATTTAGGCATTATTCGTCCCTCCTCTAGTGCATGGTCATCCCCTCTGCATATGGTGCCAAAGAAATCCGGTGACTGGCGACCCTGTGGTGATTACCGAGCCTTGAATGACTGCACGATCCCCGACCGCTATCCCATCCCGCATATTCAAGACTTTACGTCCCACCTGCATGACAAGATCATATTCTCTAAGATTGACCTCGTCCGTGCATACCACCACATTCCTGTGCACCCTGACGACATCCCGAAAACTGCCATCACCACCCCCTTTGGACTGTTTGAGTTTGTCCGCATGCCCTTTGGCCTTCGCAACGCAGCCCAGACATTCCAACGCTTCATTGACCAGGTAGTTTCAGACCTTCCCTTCTGCTTTGCATATCTGGATGACTTGCTCATTGCTAGCGCCTCACCCGCTGAACATATGGCCCACCTTCGCTGCATATTCTCCCGCCTTGCTTCACATGGCATCTTGATCAACGTCCGGAAGTCGCAGTTCGGCCAGGATGAGCTTGACTTCCTGGGACATCACGTGACTGCCTCAGGTATCCGACCTCTCGACGCTCGCATGACCGCCATTCGTGAATTCCCACAGCCAGCTAGTGTTCGTAAGCTCCGTGAGTTCATCGGCTTCGTCACGTTCTATCACCGATTTCAGCCACATCTTGCTGCTAAGCTCGCACCTCTGCACGCTATGCTTGAGAAACGCCACCGCACCAAAGGCGCGCTCGTCTGGTCCGACTCGGCCATCGCTGCTTTCAATGATGTCAAAGCTGCGTTCACTGAGGCCATCACACTTCACCATCCTCGCCCGGATGCCGCCTACAGCTTGATGGTCGACGCTTCAGACATTGCTGTTGGTGCCGTCCTCCAACAAGAGCTAGATGGTGAGTGTTATCCTGTTGCCTTCTTTTCACGCAAGTTAAAGCCTGCTGAGACACGCTACAGCACCTTCTGTCGAGAGCTCCTCGCTATTTACCTAGCCATTAAGCATTTCCGACACTTCCTGGAAGGGCGTGTCTTCCATGTGTGCACCGATCACAAGCCTCTGACACATGCCATCCACAGCCGTTCACAGACCCACAGCCCGCGTCAACAGCGCCATTTGTCGTACATTGCTGAGTTCACGACAGATATTCGTCATGTCAAGGGTTCTCAGAATGCTGCCGCTGATGCACTGTCACGATGCCACCTACCTGATGAACCCGTTTCTGCCATCACTGCCATTGACACAGCTTCCTTTGCCGCCGCTCAACAAGATGATCCAGACTTGCCCAGTCCTGGTAAGGATCCATCCACTTCGCTATGCTGGCAATCTATAGCTCTGCCCATGACTGATCACTCGCTCATCTGTGACACCTCTACTGCGTCTGCCCGCCCGTATGTACCTGCCAAGCTGCGCCGTGCTGTTTTCAATTCGCTTCACGGCCTCTCCCACCCTGGTACCCGCGCTACCAGGCACCTGATTACAGCTCGCTACGTCTGGCCCGCGATGAACAAGGATATTAGTGAGTGGTGTCGTTCCTGCCACGCTTGTCAGCAGTCTAAAGTTCAGCGCCACACCACATCTCCCGTGAGTGCATTCAAGCAACCTGATGCCCGTTTCTCCCATGTCCATGTCGACATCGTAGGCCCGCTTCCATCTTCTAGTGAGTCTCGCTACCTCTTGACAATGGTAGATCGCTTTACTCGCTGGCCCGAAGCAGTACCTATTCCCGACATTACAGCCGAAACCGTCGCTCGCCAGTTTGTTGCCACCTGGGTCGCCCGATTTGGTGTTCCCACTGTGCTCACAACCGACCGAGGTGCCCAATTTGAGTCATCCCTGTGGTCATCGCTCATGTCACTACTTGGCACATCTCGCATTCGTACAACGGCTTACCACCCTGCTGCCAACGGCATGGTAGAGCGCTTTCACAGACAACTGAAAGCTGCACTCCGAGCTTCCGACAATCCACAGCGCTGGACGGAACATCTGCCACTAGTCCTGCTCGGCATTCGCTCCTCCCTGAAGGCTGACCTCAACTGCTCAGTTGCAGAAATGGTCTACGGTTGCCACCTCCGCCTGCCAAGTGATTTCCTCACTGACGAGCCTGAGCCATTTCCGGATCCGACGTCCTATGTCAGCCGCCTCAAACAAGCCATGTCCGAGCTCCGCCCTACACAACCCCGCAAGCCACCCACCCAGCATCCGTTCATTCCAGCTGACCTCTCGACATGCTCTCATGTCTTCATTCGCACAGATGCAACACGAACGCCCCTCCAACGTCCTTACACTGGTCCACACCGAGTCCTGGAACGTCATGATAAGTACTTCCGCCTCGACCTCAACGGCCGCTCCGACACAGTATCCATCGACCGACTCAAACCCGCATTCCATGACAACCAGTCTGTCGACCATTGCCATCCGACCAAGCCGACGCCATCGCTCGCATTCGACGTGCCTCCGCCACGCCAAACACGAGCTGGTCGTCAAGTCAGATTTCCCGCCTATTTCTGACACTCTCTCGCTTATCCCATTTGCTTGCTCTCACTTTATCGCGCTAGTTATCGCTCATTACTCATTCACTAGGAGGGGAGCTCTGTAGCGTCTCTGACGTTCTCGCATCATGACATCATCATTTGTTTGCATGTACACGTCATATTTTCCTCATCATCACAAACACTGATTCACCATACTCTCGCACACATTGTAATACCTACTACACGTACTTCTCTACCATAATAATTACGTAATGTTTGGCTAGCATAGTTCCAATACACATTACGACATCTTTTGATGTTACGCACTCCTCGCCTACAACGCTATTGTAGAAAAGTAGTCTTTACTCATCTCTTGTAAGTTCTGTTTGCATCCAAACACTTCTTCCAAACAGCACACGTCAGATATCTAACAAAACAACAAACTTCATTGCACAGTCTTCTATCACAATCTCTTTCCTATATAAACCTCCTTTCTCTTCACTTTCTTCATGACATTTAGTGTTCGCCAGTCTTGTAAAGATCTTGGAAACTAACACTCGTTGCACTGTATCTAGACTACTAAACATGTACATGTGCAACATTGTTTTGATTTTCGTTTTTGTTCTTCCTTGGTCCAGTCTCTTACTTGCATACATGTATGTACATTTCGTTCTAGCTCAGCACTGAGTGAGTAGATCTACCTGTACGTGGTCGCCCCGGTATCAGCTGGGCTTCACGTGTACAGTCGCTCTGGAGGTATACACATGTACATGTACATGTACAGTACATGCTCTGCATCCATATCTGTCCCATTACATTATGTATGTTGCCTGATGACCGAATCCACATTTTAGTAGTGCACTCTTCATATATAAATTTCAGCAGCACCGATGATAACATTATTATTCTTTCCACTGGCTTGTGCCTATAATCATGAAGTTGGTTGCTCCAACGAGGAGGACACGCTTCTTGCCGAACTTGACACTTGACTGACTCACGACTGCCATCCGGAGCACACGAGCAGCACGTCGCACCTTCCGCTCGGCATACCTGAAATAAAGCACCACTCCCTGCTCAATACACAGTGTTTCGGGGAATTCACCCCTCATCAGTTGAGCTTGAGTAAGCTGAGGAAGATTGTGCCTGAAAAGCACCACTTATATACTGCTCTCCAGGCCAAACCATCACCAGGGATACCGACTTACAGAGACGCTTTGTTTCCAGCGCGACAAACACCTCGTGAAGCCCCAGGTAGCAGCGTGAGTCATAGTCGCTCATGGAGTTGTGCTAAACAGACATTGAGAGCCAGTATAGCTATTCACAACGCTGTCACCTCCAACAACTAGTCGCACGTCCGCGAGAGAGACAACAATACGAACTTAGAAGTTGCGACTTCGGCGGTATTAGTCATGAAGTTGGTTGTTCCAACGAGGAGCCTATACGCTGCATATATCTCTACACAAATATTACACAGCAATGAATCAAACAAGTCTCATTCCGCTGTTACTCCGAGTTTCGTGTCAGAACACTTCATCAGACAGCATTATGACCAAGACTAACAATCACTAGAATATCTATACACGGAGAAGGGGAGAAGGGGGCAAAGGTGATGGAGGTACATTTCAATAGCGCGAGGAAAAGGGATGACAAAATCAGCGTGATTATATTGAGGAAAAAGAAGTTGAGAGTATGGAGCATAGCCAGGGAAGAGAAACAGCGCGATTTTCTGGCAACACATCAGTACAGATTTGTGCTGCATTGTTACACATCAAATTGTGACCTAGGGTGGTAAAAACTGATGGGTATTGTGTTGTGGGAATCACTCACGCCAGGCAAGCGGGTGACTACCACACCCGCCAAGGCGAATGTGGCGGCCACATTCTTGCGATTGGTGCAGAAGCCCTTCCCTGCGAATTCAAAGCTGCAAAAAATATTCAACAAATATAACGTCAAGGTTAGCTACAGTTGTATGCCCAACGTAGCCGCAGTGATAAACGGGCACAACAAGATGCTACTTGAGCCGAAACGCATCAAAAAGCCATGCAACTGCCGAGCTCAACCGGAGTGCCCACTGGACGGCCTATGCCATTCGCAAGAGGTCGTTTATGAAGCGCACGTGGGGAAAGAAAACGAACAGAAGGTGTACATTGGATCAACTGAGCCACCATTTAAGAAACGACACTATAACCACAAATCGGATATGAACATCGAGTCAAGGAGGAACAACACGGAGCTGTCCAAGCATGTATGGCGGCTAAGAGAGACGAACGCACCGGTCACCATCAAGTAGAGGATTGCTGAGCAAGCTAAAGGGTACAGCAACGTACGCAAACGGTGCAACTTATGCGTGACGGAGAAATTCCGCATCATCACCGCCGACAGGAGCACCCGCCTGAATAAGAGGAGCGAGTTAATCTCCAAATGTCGTCATGCCAACAAGTTTGAACTCAGCAGGGTAACGTGATGAACGACAAAATACATGAGCCACGCCAGGCTGGGGGTGGCTGGTTTGCCCGTCGGGGCCGGGGAGGTGGCGGTCGGGGCTGGGTTCCGCGGAGCAAGGGAATGGTGAGCACTCCCCAGGGCTCATGGCTCACGCGCTTTGGCGGATCTTGGCTTCTGTCGCCGGTTTTCCGATGCCTGGGCGGGTGTGGTAGTCACCCCCTTGCCTGGCGTGAGTGATTCCCACAACACAATCCCAATCACCTTTTTACCACCCTAGGTCACAATTTGATGTATTATCAAAATCTCATCTTCATCAAAACAGAAATGCGCAGCCGCTTTTATGCAGCAGACGCCGAACGCTTACATACGGAGATACACTAAATATACATCAGGCAAAGCTCCGTATTAGTTCCGTAGTGCTTCCGTATTGGTCGGGCAGGGATACTACAAATGCAGCACAAATCTGTACTGATGTGTTGCCAGAAAATTGCGCTGTTTCTCTACCCTGGCTATGCTCTATACATATTACATACATGTACCACTACCCCACAATTCGATCTCGGTAAACTGATTTCTGCACTTCAGCTAGTTCCTTATATAGAGTTTGCATAACTATTGCACCGTTCATCGGTGTTTTTCACTGAGAATTTTTCTTCCTTTCTGTTAAAATCTGGATTTACGTTCCAGCATGTGTATTTACGACGTCGTATTGGTTGCGGTTTCACGGACCCTTTCTTTTGCCGTAACAGAAGATGTTACCTGTACACATGTAATGTATATGTCCATGTGTATTTGCGGTAACGTATTTCACATGATGGTCCGGTGTGTGGCTAATGTCTCTACTTTCTTGGTGTTCGGCATTTGAAAGCCATGACCCTGAACCAACTATCCTGTGGTTGTGTAACTTTGCAATTCTCAACACGGATACTAAACCAGCAATACAATCATGCAAAATAGGAGAAACCATATGAGAAAACATATGAGGCAACTACCCATCCTTACCTGGATGTCGTCAGGCTAAGCCCCTTTCTGCATTTGTCACAAGCACCAAGTCATTCCTAGGGTTCCCAGTAAAAAGGCAGCGCCTGTTGGGAGTTCCCTAGTAAAATAATATATTATACTACTACTACATCCTCATTAACAGGTTACAGCCGTTGATAGTTGCATTATAACTGTTGCAATGCTATAACTCGTTCTCATAATGTTTTTGTTCTATTTCACATTGCATACTATTTTCATTGGTCTTTCAGAGCCGCAATGCCATCATGCCAACAACAGTGTTGCACGGTTGATATGCAGGTAACTTCAATCACGGCCTTAGACCAAGATTCCCCAGATTAAGGCTAAGGCCTGTGGAGAATCCATAAACACTTCAATACAAGTGGCATTGAAACTGAGACCGTTGGTCGGTGGAGCCCCTGGCACCTCACCATCACTGCTGCCCAGTGCAGCCCCTACTCAGTATCTGTTTGTTTTTGTCCACATGATTATTTATTTTACAAGTTGGATTCTGTGAATACTAGTAAAAGACATAAATTCAAAATGAAGACCAACACACTATGCTGCCTTGTTCAAGTCCTGCCTGGGATCTGTTCCTCCTACCATGCTGGAGTCAACTACGAACCAGTAGTAGAGAGGTTAAGTTACACGTTTTTTTGCCCTTTTTCAAAACGCGGTGCAAATCTCACGTTACGTGTAATTTTTAGAGGTTAAGTTACACGTGCGACGTGACGTGAAATTTTGCCTGGCAGGATTCGGGTTTAGTTCGCACAAATATCAAATCTTCCAACAAACTCGATAAAACTCGATAAAATTCCGGAAACTCACACACATTCGGTCGGAATAACCAAGCGAAACTTCCAAAAACTCACGTCATGAACTTACGTGCGGGACAGTCAACTCACGTAAAACACGTCAAATTTTACGTGAGTTTTTTCACTTTTTGACGTAAAAGTTCACGGACGTAAGACTTTTACGTGAAACTTAACCTCTCTATTCAGGCACATCTGCCTTGAGTTTCTTTCGATTAGACTTTTCAAATATTTATTTTTATTTCATCGTCGAGTTTCATCCCTTGTACCTTTGGTGTTCTTCCTTCTTTCCATGGTGCATTGTTTGAATAAACCAGACTCCAGTAGTCAAGCACAAGGGTTGCAATGTTTATCACAGTGCACAAACCTACGGAAATAGGGGACACAAAGCGAAAAGAAAAGAAAAGAAAGGTGGAAGAATGGGCGAAACTGAGCCGCTACATGAGCTGTGTTAGTCAGGTCGGGTGGTCTCACCCAAGCAAAGATAGCATGGTGTCGGATTTTTATTTATTTTTATTTTTTGATGAAAGTGCACATGCCTACATAGAATGGAAGAGAAAAACAATAAGAGAAAACAGGGGACTACAAAGGGCGTGTAGGTGCTATAAAAGCTGTGCGGGCGAGACGAAGTGCGCTCCTCTGGGGATCAAGGCTAATGGGGGGTTCTGCACTTGTGGCATTTGCGGTTGTGAAATTTACCTAAAGTAATGCTGTTGTATATGTAAATGTACCTGAACATGTATGCGAACGTCGTGCAAATTTGTCAGCTGTAAATTGCAACTGCAGCTGCCTACCTACTGTGTGCATGGCGAGGCTGGAATAGCGCTAGAGTCATGCTACATGGGGACTCCGCTGACCACCATGCCAACCATCACTATTATCAACAACAAGTGACTAGGCACCAAAGAGTTGCTGGAAGATTCACTGCATTGTAGCATTCCACCTGCAAAAAAAAGAGAAAGAGCAGTTTAGAAATTCCATCATCATGTTGAGTTGTAAAGTTGAATGGTCTACAGTAACTAAATAAATTCTCGTTTGGAGGGAAGCGAGCCAACAAACTAAGCACAGAAACCATTATAGTTTTTGCCTGTCGTACCACTACTTTTCAAGTCGAATACAGTGGTGAATGAAGCTGCAGCAAGCAAGGCCATATATTCGGCACTTTGGTGGTCACAGCAAGAGAAGGCCTAATCGAAACTATACTGATTCGGTGATTCGTGTGCTACTCTGCTTCTCTCCGATCAAGGATATATTCAACAGTAAAAGCAGAAACATGCAGCACACACTAACCGTGAGAATGGGACGACATGAGCAGAATACAGTGAGGGTGGAATTTTTAACCAGACTGTGCTGGGAAAACAAGTTCTTGATTGAGACAAAGAAGAGGGAAGACTAACTTTGCAGTTGCGTTGCGGTGGTGGCGCTTGTGCTAGTGGTGGTGGTGGTGGTGGTGGTGGTGGTGGTGGTGGTGGTGGTGGTGGTGGTGGTGGTGGTGGTGGTGGTGCTGGTGGTGGTATTTTGAGTTGGTGGTGGTAATGGTGGTTGAGATGGTGGTAACGATGGTTGTCTGTGTTTAGGTCATCGTTATGGAATGCACTGTGGATGTGACACGTATTCATTCAAAACAAGACGCACAACTCACCGGGATTGGTCAGTGTGCATCCCATGTTAACTGCACATCGGAGGAACTCAGCTGCGGCTAAATCGGCAGTCAGAAGTTGATTCCTGGCACAGCTAGCCAACACCCTGCAGAATTGACTCTCAGGACTATGCCGGCACTCACAGCGGGGATCACCAGTTGTGGGGAACACGCATTCGGATATACCAGGTGGATGCCCGAAAATTCGCTGGCATACGTTAGCCTGAGCGCATATATTGTAGACTGAAAGCAAAGCAATAATAGAACTACTTTTACCGTGGGTTAATGTATTCTTTAGTTGCCTGTTCTGTTACTGTAAAACCGGAAAGTCTAACGAGTCACAAAGTCTAACGTTTTAACGACCAATTATTTGTCGTTATTTGGAAAATACGTTATCGCTAGATGTCTGTGTAAAGATGCGCACACAGATGGGTGGCCAGGTAGCCATCGTTAAACTTTCTGCACGCTATCATGCCAAAATTACAAAAACGTTAACTTTTTGGTCGTTAGATTTTCCGGTTTTACAGTAGTTGCCATCGTCGGATTTTCATGCAGTGCTTGTCGTCACATGCCACATTGATGCAGTGGAAGTTGTCGCATGGTGAAGCATCTTAAGGTCCCGTTATGCCCACTAGTTCATGAATAGTCTTCTCGAGAAGTTAGTTCCCAAAGCGCAATTAAAGAAGACAAGCTTGATCGACATACCGTCAATACAGATTTGATAAATTTGTAAATATAAATTGAGATGGAAGCTTGTCCTATTGATTGGATTTTTGAAACTATTGTCCCTCAACCCTTATTGGTAAAGGTGGTAGTTATACATGTACATGCAGATGTACCTTGTTCACACCATTGTTCTCTAGTGCTATTTTTTATGAGATTGATATATTTGAGGATTCCTCAAAGTCTAAATTGAAGGAAGTTCGATTATAATGAGAGATTGTAGTTGCCGCTAGGGTTTATCGGGTGTTAGCGGCCGTCGTGAGTTCCCTTCGGGAACGGACATGATAATCTACTATTTTTTATACTTTCTTGTAGTTGTACGAAAACCAGTTTGAAGCACTCAGGTTAATATTATTATCCATTTTGTAGAGAAAATGACTTATAGTCCTTGGGGAGTGCCCTAGTAAAAGTAATAATTACAACAGCAACTACAACAGCAACAGTCTCCTCGTACACAATAATGCAATATTACTAAGGAGTAAAATACACTTCAGGCGATTTGTTAAGATCTTGAGAGTTTTCACGAGTACACATGTACTTCGCCTTCGCCTGGTTTTCAACTCACGAGAAGGCTTGAAAGTATGCTCGTGAAAAATCTCACAGTGACAGTATTACAACAACAATAACAAGTATTTAAATTGATTCCCTTCATCGTTCATTGTTCATCATAATTTCCTTCTATAACATTTGTTTTTTGTCCATCATCAAGTATTCGCTCCATGGCATGCCAATTCCACTGGTGCTGTTGACGGACAATTTAAATTATTGTGCCCTCGCCGCCTGTTTCAATGAGAAATCCTTTTTCCTGCAAAGATATTTTATACGCTGTTCTCATAAATTCTGGAGCAGACACTTTGTTCCCAAATGTTTACATGCCACATTCGAGTTGAAAAATCATATTCTGTATGGAAAGACTGTACGTGACGTCTAGACTGTGTATTTTGGAATTCTGAACCGGCGTGAAGATGCAAGAAATGTTGCCACATGAATTTGGAAGACGAGCCGAAAACCAATCAATTAGGCTTCCGATTTTTGCATAATGTGCACTGTACTATACGCTTTTCCTTAAGCTATCGACCTAATTGTCAGCAAGGATCATAACACTTTGAGCACCAGATGGAACTTACAAACATTGAATGTGGCAAGGCCATTGCCCTGGCCGAGTCCCATGACCGCAGCGCTGCACTCTACAGACACGGGCCTGACTGGTGAATTGAAGCTGACGTCGGCCGTAACGGGTGAGATGGTGATCGTGTTCTGTCGTGGGCCGGAGAACGACAGGGCCTCCATGGGAACTGCTGGAGTCACGGTCCACGTGATCTCTGGTGACGTAATGGGCACGTCGCTGGAGCAATTCAGACTCACACTGTCGCCGTTGAAGATATTATGCTCTGGTGACGTCACTGTGAGCTCTTTGGTGAATAGAAGGATGGGAAAAGAACGGAAAGGAGAACATCTTTAATGACGTAGCAGCGCCGTGGATCAAATGAAGCTGGCGAGGGAAAGGGTTATGACCTGTGTGAGGATCAGGAAAGTATGTTATGCATCGCAGTGTTCTTCGATTTCAGCTCCTTTTTAAAAATAAAAAAACAGGAGTTCTCGCTATTAGGACCAACTATCCCTCATGCACTAGCATTCCTACCGTACTATTATATACAAGTAAGATACTTCAAATACGTGTGCAGCTAGCTCATGACTGCAATGCAAGCGGTGGTAACAATGCAGTGAATACCCAGTAAAGCAGAGTTCTATCTTGGGCTTCAACCTAGACAAAGTAGAAGTTGACAGAAAACGTGACTCAGACCCCTTTGAGATGCGGAATCATTATCGTTGCACTGACAATCGCCTTAGGTGAAGTTAAGTGTATGCAAGTAGATGAAACTATGTTCCAAGTATGCACATCCTGTCGGGTTTCACGCATTAGGTTATCACGAAAGTAATAATTGTCTGTAGCTCTGGTATAGTTTGGCTTGAATAGGCGAGGCTGTGGGAACCAGTGCTAAGCTGGAAGCTGGGCGAGGCTAGATATCTCTCGGTGGCCTACTATAACGATTGGCTGCATTGTGGTTGAAGGCTGTGGCAGAGGTCAACCAAGAATCTTATGGCTAAAGTGTATTGCCGCGGCATCACATGACTAGGGGAATCCCCGCCACTACATAGAGATACGATCATGCCATAGTGCTGGACACTTATTAGGATCCTAAGGATACTAACTATTACTTCCATATACTGCCAGTGGTCGACACTATTGTAAAGTGCTGGCAACTGAAATCCGACCCATGTATAGGGTCCAGTTGACTGTATAATCATGGTAACCCCCTGCGGCGGATTCTGCCGGCAGAAAAATTGGCAAAATTCGGTACTTTTTCTGGTAAGTTTCATGCATGTTTGGCATGTGGATAAAGAAATGGAGCAGAATTCGAGGAATTGCCCGCCATAAGGTTTGTATGGTTCTGCCAATTTTACTGCTTTTCGAGCAGAATCTGCCACCTTTTCGAGCAGAATCCGCCGGTCCCTACAGGGCCATGTAGCGGTGCGCTCATATCGCAGAAACCCAGCACAGGATTGTAACACTGCGAAATAGCTAGAATCCGTGCTGCAGTCGAGCACGAAAATCAGGGGTCGGATTTCCGTTGCCAACACTGTACGGGGAGTTACGATCCTGTCACTGTGCTGGACACGCGCTGCTAGCAATGCAAACTATTACTTTCATAGGCCTCCAGTGGCCGATACTATTTGTACAGTTACAGTATGGATGGACCAGTGTCACAGGGAGCGTGTGTTTCACAATCTGAAGAAAGCGTTGAAGCAAATTATTTGCTTGGAAAGCGACTGTAACATAACTAACGTGTTACTTACCGATGCTGCGTAGCTACTCTGCATGCATACATGCACATGTACATGTATTTATTGCAATGAACTTTTTGGGGTAGAAAGTCGTCTACGAAATAATCAATGCTATCTTCAGCGGACTCTTCTACTTTTCAGTGTTTTCACTTCCTCAAACTGGGAAAGACCCAGGCTGGTGCAGCTGGCATTATTGTTCTTGAAAAACAATTAAAACGTAAGAACCGTACAACGCTTACAGTGGTAAATTATTCGAGAGTCCTACTCTTCCCTCTCCATACACCAAATGCGAAACATATCAAACAACGTTCCAAATTTCATCGATTGTACTGCCGCTATTATGCTTCAAGGTCTTCGAGTTTCAATCCATCATTACATTGACTCACCATCCGAGTTCAAGTTGCTTACTTTGAGGATCATTATTATCGAAAGGCCCAGAAAATGCTGATCCAGGGAAGGCATGTACACGTATTGTTGCCTGCGTGTGGCGGGGGGGGGGGGGTAATGAAGAACTGATGAGGGTCATTATGCAAGTTCACTGTTGTTAGAAGGCGTGCGTGGTTTCTGAAAATTATTATGTAATGTCAACCCTCCCCCCCCCCCCCCCCCCACACACACACCCTTCGCTATCATATTATTGGGCAACGATCCTGTTTAGCATACAATACAACCCAGCACTAATCCCGCGGTAGGCGCATACAATCAAACATGTGTACCACTCATCGGAACGTACACCGTACCTTGAGCTTGGGCGCAAACAGCGAACACAACCAGCGCCAACAGAAGTGTATAAAAGCTCCCTTTTCCCCACCAAGAGCACTGTTCCAGTAGGTAGGCCATTGCAGCAATCATGTACACCCGTCTCCGAACCTTCCCCAAAAGGACAGTACAGTTTCTGTCAAATCAGTTTCATATGCTGACTACCGGCTCTATTGTGTTACAGGACACTGGTTAAAGAGAGAGGTTGCGTCTTCAATGTCAAGGACAAACAAATGCTGAAAGTTGAAAGCACTAAAGTTATCTCTCAGTTGATTCGCCTATCCTGAAGCAATGTGAAACCTTTTTCGGAAAAGGGTGATCCCGGTCTCTGCCTATATACATGTACATGTACAGACGGTGAACGAACAACAATCGGCGCTGAAAGCCGTTTTATACGGGCCCTGCTGAGCCAAAGGAACGAGGCTCGCGCAGAAAACATGTACATGTACATTGCACGTGTACTGAACTCGAAATCTCTGAGCACTGCTGTGAAAATGATTCGGATGTACTGTACGTGATAGATGCAGTAGCATTTGCAGACTGAAGCTGAGTATGATCCTTCGCTTCAACTTATTTGTAGAATGATACTATAAAATAATGCACTTAACACTTGAATCTGACTTTGAAGTTTGAGGCACGAAACGTATGCCTTTTCTTGGGAATCGGTATTACTATCCTTCGACAGTCTCTATAGGTGAAGTTAGGACTATTCAAGAGAATACACGTACCGGTGCTCACACGGTCGAGGGTCACGGAATTTCACTGCAGCTCCAGTGTGCTAGTTCTAGTACATGTAGTTGGCTTTACTTGGCGAGGCTAGATATCGTTGCGTGACCTAACCGTCCGCAGTGTATTCTGGCTCGAGGCTGTGGCAGAGGTCCCGTTGAGATTGTCTTTAGTTAAACAATGTATTGTCGTGGAGTGACGAGTTACGCTGTGGGTAACACACAGCGAAACGAGCTTCTGTACAGTAATGATGACAGCTGTTTTGGAACAATACAAACTATTACAATGCACTTGAAGTACTTACACAGACCACAACCACTAGAGGTCAATACCATTGTATTATACAGACCGGAGTCACAGGGAGCGTCAGTTGCAAAGTCTGAAGATTCGAGAAAATGATAATAATAATTATTATAAATAACTATGTACAAAAAATCTACGTGGAGATAATAATTTTAATAAAGCTATGAATAGGATGAAGGCCGCAGACATCACGCTTCATCCTTTTCATAGCTTTAATAACTATGTAGAAAGAAAAAGGACATATGGATACGAGTTAAGAGTAACTCTCCATCACTGTAACTGGATACGATCTACAGTCATAAGGTGCAATAACTAGGCACAAAACTGACATGTAGTATCCAGTTACAGTGATGGAGAGTTACTCTTAACTCGTATCCATATGTCCTTTTTCTTTCTACATTTATTTATGGCTCAACATCCGAGTTTCAAATTAATAACTATGTTGAACGATCTCTGCTAGGAATCCGACTACACATTAGCTTAGTTATACTTTTAGGGCAATACTGGCTTTTAGCTATTCGGTCTCTGTTTCAAACCCTGCTGGTGGCTGTCAAGTGTTCATTCTGAATCTGTTTTTCTCAAGTGCTTCCGCACAGGTAGTACGAGGTGCTGCAAGCTCAAGGGCCGGAAGTGTAGTCAAAGCTGAATTGCGTGGGCTACAGAGGTACATGTACATGTACTGTCGTATCTCTTTGTCTGTCACCAGTTAATCCTATATAATATTATAGCATTAGACGTCACGACGTATTTGCAGCCTCGAAATTGGTCGAAGTGGAAGCAATGTTATTGAAGAAGCATTTTGATCTTTCCTACGATGCATCTCCTTCTTTAAAATGAATGAATAGAGGTTACCCAGTGGCTAAGACCCCCAGGAAAGGTCTCTGTGTGCAATTATTGCTGATGAATTGCAATTATAAGTGGTAGAAATAGACTAGGAGTGGAATAGATGAATATTAGCACCATCCTAGCAGTGAAGTCGTGTTGTAATGTGTTCTCAGATCAATGTCAACTAAAGACACTACATGCATGGGACATTTACTTGTGTTCAAGTATGTACACATATGAATAGTGAAATACTCTTGGGGTACTATCCTAGGAGGTGCTTCTTCTATAGCCATAGATGCATAGAATTTGTTTGGTAGCTCCACATGGGCCATGTCTAGGCTTGGATATTGCCAACTAGGGTTTTTATTGGCAGGGGAAACTGGGAAGTACAAAACCAATTTCTGAAGAGGCCAAATCCTATATATAGGATTTTGAAAATTCCGGACACCTTTGCACGAAAGGGCCTGTTACAGAAAAAGTAAAGCCCTTTTGCAGGTGAAACTTGGCAGACATCATCTCTGATAAACACAGAATGCAAACTCCAACAGGTTTTTGAAGAAAGAACTTTACTTTGTAAGATGTGATCTACCTTTTCCCCAAAATGTCGGAAAATCCTATAGATAGGATTTGACAGACAAAGAGATGACACGTTAATTATTTCGGTGTAAATTTAATTTCGGTATTGAATTTCGGTAGAAACCATGCACCTAATGTTGGATTACCAGTACATCTAAAAGGCACTAGAGCATGCACTGTATGTGAAGGGAATGCTGGTCACCTAATTCTACATTACACCTGGAACCTGGATGTTCCCAGGCACATACATGACGTAGATTTCAGCACACCTCACAAGTCATACAGTACCTGTAATAGGATGACCGCGTCACTGGAGATCAGGATTTACAAGGTCATCGCCGAGCCGCATCAAGAACAGACGGCACCTGGATGCCTCTCTCGCATGTACATGTACATGTATATGTCATCCTGGCCGGCCTAGGCATTGAATGATTTATTATTTACTGCTTTCTTTGGACGGTTTGTTCACCTAAATACCACCCTCAAATAAGGGGTTAGCAGCAGCATTCAACCCAGCGCAAAGTTTTCGTCGACCATTTCGCCTGTAGTCGAGTTCATATGCGACGGCAACACTGCCTGTTTGTTCTTCCACATTTTTAAAATAAACCAATCCAACCACCACACCACAGCTGCGCTCTCCAGACGGCCTCGTCACGTGGAAGCGTGGCAAGGTAGACGGCCTCGTCACGTGGAAGCGTGGAAAGGTAGTAACGTGTGGAGTTCGGTTGAAGAACGTGATGTGGTGGTAGCCGAAAACCTACTGCCAGCCTTCATAGAATCCACATGCTCTTTGGTCTGTTTATCCTCTCCCTCGATCTCTGCACTGCACGGTGCCATGAAAGTGGATGTCTTGCAGTTCCCACGCATGAACCATGACTGGTGAAAACTCGATTTCCAATCGTGCAGCTATCATGTTACAATTATTATTGTGCTCAATCGTCTAAAATTCCCATGAACCCCCTCGATCAACACCCTTACACCGGACATCGCATGTAGTACAGTGCTCGCAACTGAAATCCGATCCCCGAGCAGTGCGCTCACATCGCAAAGACCCAACACGGGATTGAAAATAGAGGCCGGTAGAATGTAAACGCACTGGTCAGGGGTCGGATTTCAGTTCCCAGCACTGTACGTGACGGATAACATGAGATGTCAGAAATGATCTCTAACACTACTGTCGCCGAAAGTTTGCATAGTCCAATGAACTCTGGTGCTTCTAACACCATAGGAGTACACCCTCTCACGTTTTCGTTCTTGCAAAATCACTGTTCTCTCTCTTCCATCAGTTTTTAGTTCATCCTCAATCTGCGGAAAGCTAGCTGTTTCGATCTTGTTTCATGTCGTCGCCGATGCTCACAACTACTGGCCGAAGCTGATGACATTGAAAAGTCTAACAAACATGGCAACTTTGTCTGGTACACCCTATCCTTGGTCATGTACTTGCAATTATCCCTTCACTGTGCATAGTTCGAAACTCCCCCCCCCCGCCCCCCCCCCCCCACACACACACACAATGGTTGCCTCTTTGCTTTGTTATACCACAACCATTCAATGCGGGGAATCCCTCGATCGGCGATTTGCCTTTGGGTCATCCTAATAAAGTTATTACGATTATGTGTCTTAGAAGAAAATCACACGGGAACGAGTTATGAAGCAACTATCCGCAACCGGAGTGGGGGGGGGGGGAGTGTAATGAAGGATTTGATATGGGTCACATGCATGTACATGTAGATTGTTATCAGCAAGAGCAGTTTCGATTCTGCAGAAGATCCAATAATCCGTCATATGGCGCATACAGGGCAAAAGTATCTAACATAGTTATCACCCATGGATTCCGGAAAATAATACCGTCCTGAGCTTCGGCGCAAACAGCGAACACAGTCAGAACCAACAGAAACATGTTAACAATCCCTCTCCTGAACCAAGAACACTGATTGAACAGGAGGGCCATTGCACCGATCATGTACATGTACATCTACATGACTGTACAACCGTATCCTAAACTCAGAAAACTCGGTACAGTGTCCACGAAGATCAATCGGGAGTGATGGCGAGAGGGTTCTGAAATCCCAACTGTGCGTTAATACACCCACCAAAGAGAGAGAGAGATTCTTATCCAGCAATGGCATGTTCTAAACAGTGAAAGCTCTAAACATTCTCTCCCAGTCGACTCGTCTATCCTGAAATTGTGACAAGAATTACACAAGCCGACACATATAATTATACTATTGTTCAGACAGTGAATAAACAGCATCCCTCACTGGAGGACAATGGCTTTTTACATTGGCTCGCTACCCATACCTGCAGTAAAACCAGGCCGGCACGATGAAATAATGGACGTTACATTACACGATGCCCCTGGTCGCATCCTTGATCACCTACAATAGGCGACACAGCAATCAATATTATACATGTAGCTGGGGATCGTCATTTGTAGGATTTCGAGGCACTTGGTGCATATCGCCTATCCCAAAATTCGTCTTGGCACGTTTGAATGTGACGGGTTTCGTCACATCTTACACTGTACTTTTCATCATCTAGGTATGTCCAGCATGCAAGACCCTGCCTAGCGGATCGGCCTGAGCGGCTTCTAATGAGAGGGCTGTAGTTTCACGCTACCTACACGCATCTCTTGCCTCGGGATGCAGGCGCGTGGAGAACCTTACTTACATGACTGTACTGCTCGAGTGAAACGTGTCTACTATTGTGCCTTCCCCATCTTCTCGCCTTTCTAGCGCCTCATCAAGAGTCATCATGCATCATCTTCCGTTTGCAATAATTTTCAGATGTAACTTTAGCCGTCCAAAAGATGTGTTTGTCTCTCACCTGACCTCCACTTTGCACCTAGTTAACTGTACAGTAGTGTTTAAACCGAACACGGATTCTTCGAACGAATAATCTATCGAATAATTTCGCCCTCCATCGAACGAATAATCTATATTCTATCATACGCATGATGGCATTTTTCAACACTTTTTCAGCACTTTTTAAGTAGTTTTTTAAATATTTTTTTGCTGATTATCGGATTTTGTTATGTGGGGGTGCAAAACCGGTTAACCTGTACCGCCAAGAGTACATAACCCCCCAGAGTGTGCAACGCTTGATCCAGTTCTGCATAGGGTCTTGGTCGAAAGTGATCAAAGACCGAAAATCACATTCACTGCATCCATGTTTCCCTCGTATGGAAAGAACAGAAGTACATGTACATGTACATGTATTACTAGATACCGATAGGAGATTAAACCTTGGAGGAGAAGTGATTGAGAAGAAATACTACGAGCAGATCTACGCAGTGCAAATATCAGTAGGGTCAGCACTGAGCATAGATCGTTTTTTTGTTTTTGTTTTTTGTTTTGTTTTTTTTCGATTTCTGATAATTCCTACGACTATTCGATTATTCGTTCACCCCACGAATATTCTAAATTATTCGATTATTCGATTATTCGTTTCAACACTACTGTACAGATATTTACACAGTGTGCTTTCTCAACACTTCCGTTTTTTTGTCATATGTTTGCTTTACAACACAATGTAACCTACTTTGGGTAGCTCCCTTTCTCCTTGTGAATCTATCAGCACTTGTGATATAATTATCTGTCTGGCAGGGTTCACAACAGCTCCATTCCAAATTATTCCCTTTCTGGTGGTTCGTCATGCATATACATGTACATGTACGTTTACAATGTACATGTACATGTATGTGTGAGTGTGTTGCGTGTGCGCGTACATGCCCCACCCCAGTATGGTATGCACTGTACATGTACATGTATACGGGTACATGTACCATGCACAATAGCAAAGCATTCGCTAGCTTAGCCTATAGAAACCATAATTACCATTCAGCAACTACTTCTGCTTTCGGATGACTTCCTGCTACATATACAATCATATACATGTAAACGATACTCACTGTACATGTATTGTAGTCAAGTTGCTGTCTGATGAATCGTGAAACTCAGAGTTACAGAAGAAAGCTTTTCATCCTTCTCAAGTGTGTGTACATGTACATGTATGGCAACTAACAACATGCAATGTACATGTACATGTACATTGCTGGCCACTGAAATCCCACCCCTGAGCGGTGCATTCACATTCTAGCGGTCTCTGTTTCGTCGTTTTTCAATCCCGTGTTGGGTCTTTGCGATGTGAGCGCACCGCTCAGGGGTCGGATTTCAGTTGCCAGCACTGTATCTGTAATGCGAAACAAGCTTTTCAGGAGAAGCTACATTACATGTGAAGCTGTCGTGAAGTGGTGCTTGTGGACTAGTGAACTGCTAGTGCCAGTGCTAGTGTCTGCAAGGGTCATTATAGTCTCGTCTGGGAAGAAACAATGACTACTATTGATGCACCGACCAATTAAACGCAATACCAATTATTTTAATACATGGAAAAGGAAAAAAACTGAACAATAAGAGGACGGACAAAGTGTTTAAAATCTGAGTTTCACGCACTAAGTGATCATTAGACACAGTCATGAGTGAATCTGGATCAGTACTGGTTTATACATGTACATGTATGCCCACAAAGCAAAGTTGAAGTGACTGCATTATGGAGCAAATCTAATTGAAAAGGAAACAACCATGGTATGTCTTTGTAGTTATTTTGTACTTTGTATTTATATCATTATCTCATGGCACATCATGATTACGGCTACTTCGAAAATAATAAAACTGAGACAAGGGAGAAAGCCAACCACGGCAGTAAAACACATAAAAGAATACAAAAGTTGATGATGTTGCAACACGTTGGTATGTGACCCTTAGCTATGAATGTATGGGTAGTTTAGTCCTGATCTACATGTTCATGAACATGTACATGTAGATATACAATTTTTTGTTTTTTTTGTTTTTTAGGCCTCTTTTACATACACATGTTCATGTTTAATAGCAAGAGTCCATAACCCAAGAGTATGCAACTGTGATCTCTTTTCTATGGGCCAACCGCGCGGCGCGCTGCCTTCATTACATCATTCAGCTGCAGTCCGCGGCTCCGCGCACTGCGGAAAATCAAACACCGCATTTTCCCTCTGGTTTGAAATGAACTTTCGTACGGAACTGGAGTTCACGCGCCATAATTTAGAGATCGCGTAGGTACTGGAACAAATCGAGCAAAAACGGATGGGCTCGGACGAGACATTTTGGGTTTGAATGCATGCTTTCAGAGCGTGATGAAGACAAGTTACGTCACCCATGATCACAGTTGCATACTCTTGGGTTATGGACTCTTGATAATAGTGACATTGTACTGTGGACCAAGTACAATCGAGTAATCTTTTGTTGAACTAAAGAGTAAACGTACACTTACAGGTCATTTTGGGCTTAAAATCGAACCGGGAACCAATGGAATTGAGGCAATAACCGGTATATGTACATGTATAACCAGGGCATTGGACAATGTGTGCTGCAAAATTAATCCCCGGTATATACATGTAGCGCTAGTACACAATTGGCTTTCTCTAATTTTTCCCTAAAAAAAAGAAGCAAAGGGGATGCTTCCTAAACTGACCCTAATCTAAAGGGATGCTGTTGTATGTGAGGGTCATGTACACGGGGATTGGTCAGTTGCAAATGTAGGCTAGTACAAGTTTTACACCGTGAGAAGTTGAGGTAGATGCGCGTTAGATGAGGAGTCGTCTGCCGACCACCATGCCAACCATCACTATTAGCAACGATCTGTAGCTGACCATGACAGCGTCACTGGCTGATCCACTGCATTGGAACACTCCTGCTGGCAACGAAGTGCGGCTGGGCATGACAGTGAGGTTGGGCAGGACAGTGAGGTTGGGCGCGACAGTGAGGTTGGGCGCCACAGTGAGGTTGGGCGCGACAGTGAGGTTGGGCGCGACAGTGTTACTGGGCACGATAGTGAGATTGGGCACGATAGTGAGGCTGGGCGCGATAGTGAGACTGGGCGCGATAGTGAGGTTGGGCGCGATAGTGAGGCTGGGCGCGATAGTGAGACTGGGCACGATAGTGAGGTTGGGCGCGATAGTGAGGTTGGGCGCGACAGTGTTACTGGTCGATTCAGTACATTGGAACACTAGGGCTGCACAGGAAAAAGAACAAAGAAAAGAAGAGAGAGAGAAATATCAATACGAGTGATGGTGACAGTTGATTGTCTACACAACCGATAAAACATAAAATGCATGGAGTGACCCATAAATACATTTGGATACACGTGGTGGTGGTGGTGGTGGTGTTGGTGTTGGTGTTGGTGGTGGTGGTTGTGGTGGTGGTGGTGGCGGTGGTGGTGGTGGTGGTGGTGCTGGTGCTGGTGCTGGTGGTGGTGGTGGTGGTGGTGGTGGTGGTGCTGGTGGTTGTGGTGGTCGTGGTGATGGTGGTGGTGGTGGTGGTGGTGGTGGTGGTGGTGGTGGTGGTGGTGGTGGTGATGGTGGTGGTGGTGGTGGTGGTGGTGGTGGTGGTGGTGGTGGTGCTGGAGCTGGTGGTGTTGTTGGTGTTGTTGGTGGTGCTGGTTGTGGTGTAAATGGTGGTGGTGTATTGGTGGTGGCGTTGTCATCGTAATGTATTGCTGTGGAACGTACTTTGTGTATGTATAATACATATTGTTCATTCACTCGGGGAGAGAGATTCATAAAACTGTACAATATACCTACCAGTTGCGTTTAGGCTGCATCCCATTCCAAATATACACTCCAGAGCCTTTACTGACGAAAGGGTCGATGAGAAGAGTAAGGATGAACGCGATGCGTCAGCGAAGCTAATATTACCCCTGCAGCCATCCACAATCCTGCAGCCTCTCCCGGCAGAGTTCTGGCGACACCGGCAGAACGGAGTACCAGACGTTGGAAAAACGCAGTCGGATGAACCTGGTGGATGCAAGAATACTCGTTGACACACATCAGCATCAGCACAAACGTCGTACACTGTGAAAAAGAAGCAAGAATAAACAAATTGTTATAGCTATAAGGACGACTAATTGCACTATAAGCATTTCCTAAATTTCCTCAACTAGTTTCAAGTATTCCCCATTCCATTGTTACGTTTATTCACTGATGAATGTAACAAGAAAGCAAATCTGAACAAATCCTCTCTTTCCTTTTCTCTGTGGGCGTTGCGACAATGTAGATGGAAAATAAGCAGCAGTAACAAGCAACCGTAACAAGCAGCAGTTTCACACGACGACCATGTCTTGATCGAAGTACTGTACTGTACTATAGTACTGCGGCGTTCGATTCTTCCCAATTCATGTTCGTTTACCTTCCACCCCAATCGATCTTCGAATCTTTAGTGGTAGACCATCTATGTGGCTGTGCGTCCTGTAATTGTGGCTCGACTGTTTTGTCTGATGGTCTTGCAAGTTTCATCCTCGACATACATCCGCCAACGTCATGCACAGCTGAGACAGTCTGCGCGTGCTCAAATAAGTAATCTGGGTTAGAGGTTCAGGATTGATTTCACTTTTATAACGGAAAATGCGGGCGGGGTACAAATGGACCCCAGTAAATATAGAACACAGGGAATTGCAACTATTGCGATAGTTTTGGTATCTCCATGGTCACCGAATACATGGATGACATCCTCTGAAGTAAGAGGCAAATGTTCTTCTGCAACCATAATTCCTCATTCCATGTTGACTTTTTTCCTACGTTCCCAGTGTACTGGGGGTCCTCTTGGACCCCAGGAACGTTTTCAGTGGTTTTCTTGCAAACTTGCAACTAATCCCGACAAACTTCAGAGCTTCGTGCGGACGGTTCGATGGACTACTCGCGTGCTCTAGAGTCAGTCAAGTGAGAATTCAAGTCGGCAGGAAAACCGCGAGCTCCCATGTAGGGAGTAACACACTCTTCCCAAACTTCAGAGCTGTCAACAAATGCAATTTGGTCAAAACATTGGTCTATGGGAAGTTAAAACAGTCCAAACAAATCCATAAAATGGAGCGTTTGCAAGAATACTACGCAAAATGTTCCTGGAGTCCAAAAGTACCCCAATATACTGGGAACGTAGAAAAAAAGTCAACATGGAATGAGGGTTAACTAAGCTACGAAATATTTTATTTTTTATTTTTTACAATGACCACATAACTGCCAAACATGAAATGCAGCTAGGGGAAGCACGCACAACCTGAATCGTGGCAGTGGTGGTGGTGAGCTCCGCCGACCTAGGGTCTCGACTTCATAGCCCCCTAGACGCACATAGCGACCGATGCGTAATGCAGCAACACTAGAGCAACTTACGGAGAGTGCTCAACACGATGAAGTACGTGGCCCAATATCAGCCTAACTACATTGTAGACGAGACAACAAAGGCACAAGGCTAGTTTGTTGAGACCCGGAGTGTCAGGCTATGCTATCAACACGCAACGCCAGTATAACTATTCTCTTGTGAACCTAATGAAGGCAATTTGCTGAAACGTTGGAATGATTATTGTGAAATGAGTTGAACTATTGCAGTGTTAATGGAAGAGAGCGTGCAGGCTCTACTCTGAACTATAACTATTCTCGTTTCTGTTACTCAATCGACATCAGTGAAGCTTTAAACCTTACACTACTTGGGGTGCTTGAACACAAGAAATATAAGCATCCATTATTTCAAACGGGGATAGCAATCTGATTAATAAAAATGTCCGGACGCGATGGCGGTAGGATTGGTTTTTTGAAACTTTTCCGCGAGGAGCACCCCCTTGGCCTCGAATGGCATTGTGACGACCCTGAGGATGAGACACTATACAGCTAAGCTACAGCCACTGTCGGGAATAGACTGTACTTACAAATAGGGAGCGTAGCATTGCCAAGTCCTGGACCTAATCTGCCCATAACGTTAGCCCTGCACTCCACAGACACGGGGCGAACATCTACGTCTCTGTCGACGTCGGCCGTGATCGGTGAGATGGTAAGCGTGGTGCCCATTGGTCCAGAGAACGACAAGGCCTCCATGGGATGCGCTGGGAGGACGGTCCAATTGACCTGTTCTGTGAATGGGATGTCGCTGGAACAAGTGACATTGATGGTGGAGCCGTTGATGATGTTGTTATGCGGTATCGTCATCCTAAGAACTACAGTGCATAGAAGGACGGGAAAAGAAAATCGAATTTTTCATTTATTTATTTATTTATTGCATCATTAGCTCGTGGCAAGCAATTTTGTGCCATTTTGTCGCACTCGTTGACTGTATAAGATCTGGTTACGTTGGTGGACAGTTTGTCATAACTCGTAACATTTTGTCCTTCTCCTTTCTTCATCATAACTATAATATAGGCTCACCATCCGAGTTCGAGTAATTTTAAAAGTTATCAGTTTTGTCAAAACACTAACAATTATAAGGAAGATATGGTCATAGCTAACATTCTTAAGATATGGTCATAGCTAACATTCTTAAGATATGGTCATAGCTAACATTCTTAAGATATGGTCATAGCTAACATTCTTAAGATATGGTCATAGCTAACATTCTTAAGATATGGTCATAGCTAACATTCTTAAGATATGGTCATAGCTAACATTCTTAAGATATGGTCATAGCTAACATTCTTAAGATATGGTCATAGCTAACATTCTTAAGATATGGTCATAGCTAACATTCTTAAGATATGGTCATAGCTAACATTCTTAAGATATGGTCATAGCTAACATTCTTAAGATATGGTCATAGCTAACATTCTTAAGATATGGTCATAGCTAACATTCTTAGTTCACAGTAAAGTTTAGCTTGGTTTCGTCTTGAGTGCGCTCGCCGTCCCCTTTCCCACGGTATTTCTAATAATCGAACCTTGCAAGTTGGAAGGCTGCTGGTTAGCGCATTCGAGACGTGACCCCGCTGAGCATCAGGTCGTTAAATGTCAGTATAACATCAGTCAGTTCTGTGCTAATTGCTACAAATTTTGACTCACCATTATCCTGCTAATAATCGTTAGTGTTTGACCAAACGGATAACTTGTAAATGTAGGGAAATATATTTTGAAATAAATTATCTAAATTCCTGTTTCAAAGAAGAAATGAAGACCAGGGAAGTACAACTTCCTGTTTCTTTTGCTGTGTTTTCTCACTTCATCTAGTTTTTGGTGTGCTCCTTTTTTTTCCCTTTTAACTCCTCATGATCAATTGTTTTTTTGATCAGTTTTTCGGGCCTCTTTGTAAAAAGTATAATTTATGTCCTGTTGAGCCAACGAAATGAAATATATAAAACAACATTCAGCGCTGGCAACTGCAATCCGACCCCCTGAGCGGTGCGCTAACATCGCAAAGATCCGCTTGGATTGTAACACTACGAAATAGAGGCCGCTAGAAAGTGGACGCACTGCCCAGGGGATCGGATTTCAGCTGCCAGCACTGTAGCTGTCCTGCATGGTAATGTGATAGACGTGAAACCACTCTACAGCGAAAATCCAAAGATAAAAGCCTTCATTTTATTTTGAAGGTTTTTTGGTTTGGGTTTGAAAAATCTATATTAAAATTTTTACACATGCATTTTCTGATTTCTTCTCCAGTCTTTGTTTTATTGCATTTTAATCCGTTGTGTTAATTTTTGCCCGTAAATTAGGCTTTAAGATACCTCTAAAAAACTTACCCGTGATATGACGTGGGTTGCAGTCCCTCTCCAGAACGGGTGTTGCTGGACTCTCCATGCAGTCTCGCACCTCCCTGCAAGGAGCGCCCGCATCGCCTGGCGAGCAGGTACAGCTGAAAGTAGCTCCTGTGGTAATGCTGCTCTTGCAGTCCGTGGACCCCAGCGGATAGTTGTCCATTGCGCAGTACGTCGGATCTTGGCACAGGTCCCTATCTACGTTGTGGACAAATGCACACAGGATAATGGACATGGATAGGCAATTGACGTTAAAGTAACACACCGTGATTTCTTCTCCTTTGGCTGACCAATATAGTTCTATCTTTTTTTTTTTGGTGCGTGATTTTGACCATGATGCCGAGGTTGGTTTGCGCTATCGAGCAGTGCTCAGGTTGACTTTCATGCCGGGGAATGTATCAGTACTCATTGTCAGTATAGTGCTAGATAGTGCACGTATGACTGTTTAAAATCTGGTTTAGTTGGTGGACTCGACCGCATACTCGACATTCTTTGTTCCGTTGGGACTGTAGCTTTGGCTCGCTTTCGTTGCGCTTGCCTTCCCCTATTTGGTCTTTCCATAACCTTAAACCTTCCAAGTTGGAAGGCCGTCGGTTAGCGCTAGGGAGATGTGTTGAAGCTAGGTGTCAGGACGTCGAATGTCTCAGTACTCTGTCAGTTTTGTGCCTAGTTATTGCACTTTCTGACTGTATAGTATCCAGTTACGGTGATGGCGAGCTACTCTTAACTCGTATCTATATGTTCTTTTCCTTTCTACATTATTTTATTTATGGCTCAACATCCGAGTTTCAAATAATACCACAGCACGCGTAATAATATAATTACCGTATGTGGGTGTAATTATACGTTCCGCTTCTGTTCTATCTCCTATGATCAAATTCGATTATCAAGATAATTATTAATAAGGTGCACTGATGACCTGTGACGCCACGTCATGGATTTTCGACCAGATGTCTCCATTAAGGTTGTCCAGAGCGATGGCCTTAACAATATCCAGCGGATTGCTGCGTTTCAAGTCTATGTTCCTTCTCTGTAAGTCGCTTGTGATGCGCTTCGCAATGGATGTCCTTGGACGTCCACGCCCAGCCTTGGCATTTCCTGCAAAATAGCCCGTCAGCGCGATCCATGGCGGCGCATTCAGTACAGCCCAGTATTCGATATCTTGACTGGGTAGACTATGCCAATGAGCCGTCGGAGCTGCTTCCGGTGGAATACGTGAAGTGATTCTGCTTGTGCCCCCATGAGCCCCCATGCGCCGCAGTTATGCAAAAGAACGGGCAGAACCAGGGCATTATACACTTGGATGCGCCTCTGTTCACTGACCTGCCCACGACTCAGCCAGAGGCTATACATCCTGCCGTACGGACTCGAAGCCATGTCTTTCCTCCGCTCCAAGTCCTCACTGTCGCGTTGTGTACTTAGTAAAACAATTACGGGAACGTGGGTGATACACGTAAAGTTCATGCAATGGACCCACATTCTCAATTTTGTTTTTAGTCACGCAGAACAAACAAAAGCATGAAGCGAAAGGCCCAAACTTGGTCAAAGACGGTGTTTAGAAACTCAATGAGTATTTTGATTTCGTGCTTGGGAAATCTTTTCAGCTGACCACCCTCACAGCTTGCATAATGCGCTCCATTCTAATTTTCACCTAAATTCTGGCGGAACGTGGGTGGGCGTCTGTACGTGGGAGGCTGAGATACACATACGTAAAGTATACACGGATTATGTGGGATTAAACCTTTCTACTGTTTTATGGTACCGTCCCAAGCAGAGCTTGTCTCCTGGTGGTGACATTCAAATCTTTCTTCAGACTATTCCCTTTTCCATCCAACCGGGGGAAAACATAAACCGCATTTTTTCTTATAATCTACGTGGGGGTAAAAGTTTAATAATAGCTATGAAATGTATGAATGCCGCAGACATCACCACGCAACATGACAATTTGTTCAAGGTTTTAGATTGTGTGTTTCCAGAATCGATTTTCAAGCTCCGATCATCACCATCCGTATTTCCACTGATGATCGGAGCTTGAAAATCGATTCTGGAAACACACAATCTAAAACCTTGTACAAATTGTCATGTTGCGTGGTGATGTCTGCGGCATTCATACTTTTCATAGCTAGCATTTTTTCTTCATTATAATAGTCCCACTCATGACGTGTGCGGGATGTATGGGATTGTAAGACAAGCATACCCGGTAGTAGCCTGTTTGTGGGGGGACTTTAAAAATGAGTACAACAACAACAACAACAACAACAACAACAACAACAACAACAACAACTCACTGCTCACTGCTGATTAACTCAATCCGCTCCTGCAATGCTCACCCTCTCCCATACTTGTAAAGTTCAAAGTGATGTAAATCACTTTCCAACTGTTTAACCCACAATCTCATCTTCTCATATATGTATCTCTTATTGGCGATGGTGCCATCGTGAGAATAAAGAATTCAACAACAACAACAACAACAACAGCAGCAGCAGCAGCAGCAACAACAACAACAACGTTTTGCAAGACAGCTAAGTACACATAATAAGCCTTAGTGATCTTACACAGGTCGATCAGGGCAAAATCTAGGGTGGGAAATTCCGCCGGTGGAGCACCAACGTAGCAGTCCAGATAGACGGTCGCCTGATTTGTGGTTAAAGTAGAATACATGCTCTGATTGACGTTCAAGACCATCCTCTCATTATACTGGCCCGTAGTATGGTAACTGAATAGAGAAGGTGGGCCTACTGAAGGTAGGCCTACTGAGAACGTGAAATGCCAGTTGACAGGCAGTTCACTTGGTGCGCCATTACTGTCGACACATGTTAGCATGTGGGTACCTCCACCAATAATGACGAGCAGATACGGGCTAGGGCTAGCCTTCAGTTCTGCGGATACATGAGAGCATACAGCAGAAAGCAAGAGAGAAGACAGTCAGCAATAGAGAGAAGGAGAGAAGGAGAGAAAAAGAGAGACAGACAGGTGGACGGATGGACTGATGGACAGACGGACGGACGGCAGGCAGACAGAAAGACCAACAAAGAGACAGACAGGCGCTGATCAGCAGCAGCACATCCCTGGACACGGTATCTGCTACGCTATCGGCCTCGGTTTCTGCACTTGCTGACTGGTTGCAGACCCGTGGTCTCATTTTGAATGCAGCCAAGAGCCACGTGATCCCTGTATACCCCAACAGGCAGCCTCAGCAGCCCCAGCATACGATCAATGTAAACTGTCATGAAACGCCGATTCCTGTCGTTACTGCGGCCAGGTATCTTGGAGTGCTCCTCGACTCGGATCTGTCATGGACGCCCCATGTTGAGCGCTGCACCGCTCGACTGGCCCAGAGGATCGGAGCACTGTGGAGGTTGCGTCGCTGCTTGACTCATCAGAGCCGAGTTCTCTACTTTAAAGCGATCATCATGTCTGACCTGATGTACGGATCCAATGCGTTTTCCCCGCTTCTTACTGCCGACCAATTAGATCGGCTACAAGTCATGCAGAATCGGGCGGCAAGGGCGGTTTTCGGACTCTCGCATCACACCTCCGCGCGTACCCTCCTGCTGCAATTGGACACCTACAGAGTATCCGAGATCTTCAGGCAGAAGTTCATCGCTCTGGTCTGGAGGTCTCGGAATGGGCACGCAAGTTCTCATCTGCAAGCCCTCCTAGTTCCTTCGTCAGCTGGCCCAACTAGGTTGCACTCCACCATGGGTCTGCGCCAACCGCCAGTTTCCACCAGGTTCGTCAAGGGTTGCCTCGCGTTCCGGGGCGCCCAGCTGTGGAACACCTTACCCAGCGATATACGTGCCATCTCCACGCTCCGCCAGTTCCGCGCCAGCATGATCCCACACACCCTTAGTACCTAGAGTACCAAACGTCCTGTTTGATGATCAGCTGGCTAAGTTTTTCTCCATCTCTATCCTAATTAAATCAGTCCCCAATTTCATTTATTACTGCTTTCTATCTGCATTCGCCACCTTTTCATTGGGCAGATCTGCCCGTTTGGTTTGCGAATTAAAATAAACACAACAACAAACAACAACAAAAACAGACAAACAGACAGGCAGGCAGAGAACTATAGGTCATATAGGTCATGCACATCACATCAGTGTGTGTTTGGGTGTGGGTGTGTGTGCGTGTGTGTGTGAATGGATGTATTGACCCCGTATGCACTGTGTGTGTGTGTGTACGTGTGTGCGTGTGTGTGTGTGTGTGTGTGTGTGTGTGAATTTGTGTGAGGTCATGTGTGTACATGTGTGTGCGTGCATGTGTTATGTGTGTGGGGGCGTGCGTAAGCGTGTGACTGAGTGTGCAAGTCGGGATTGACAAGACAACACAGTCAGGTACTAGCACCACTACAGTGTTCCCAGACTTCCAAAGTGTGTACTGCAGAAACTCCTCCTGCTGTTGCTTGCCGATTGCGGATGCAGTTTTGAGAGCTCTGCATCCTTTTGTGAATGTGGTAGTTTTTGGACCCTTATAAAGCATATCTAGGGCGTGCCCTTTTAACCTTACCACCAATCATGGCGAGCACTGAAAACTCGTGACCTCGATAGATGGCACTGACCTCGGAGCAGATGCGAGAGACGTCCGGGAAATTCGATTGCCCACTGGGGACCAAAGTGGTGGATGTCGCGAATGCGCTGAGAGATTCTGGATACAACGACCTCACATCTGTTCAGATAAGTTCACAGCATGAGTGCATTGTAACCTTCATGTCCACTGCGAGTGTAGAGCGTGTTGTTCAGGAGGGCTTTTCTCTATTGAATAAGACTATTTTGGTTTCAAACGTACTGGATTCGATCCTCCAGCTGCATATATCTGACCTCCCTGTCTGGATCTCGGACATTGCATTGACGGACGCTCTTAAACCGTACGGGAGTCCCGTTTCAACAGTTCGATACGGGCAAGTCACCACAAAGCATGGCTTCGATGTTACAACCGGGGTACGCCTTTTAAGCTTCAAACTAGGGAAACAATGTCCCTCCATTCCATCCTACGTTCAAACGGCAGGGGTTCACGTCTTTGCCGTACTGTATAAGGATCAACCACGCACCTGTAGGGTATGCGAGTCCCCAGGTCACCTGGCCGCGGACTGCCCCACCAGACAACGCCCCCCTCGTGGAACGTACGCTAACAGGGTCAAGTCGGGACCCCAGAAAGGGCGCGAGGATCAGCCACTGTCTGAAAGCCTAGCCTCTGCAGTCAAATCGGGACCCCATGAGTCATCGGTGCAGACAAAGCGCGCGAGGATCAGCCACAACACGAGAGCCCGGGCGCTTCTCCAGCTGGTCAGGTCGACTCGAGACCCCTGGAGGAGGGCACGGGTACACATGGAGGCCAAGACTCAGCTTCTGCCGTAACTGTCAAAATGCGACCTGAGCATGATAAACAAAGCAACCACGTGGAACTTGACCTGACTCTGTCTCCTGACAGCAGCTGGGCCGAGGAGTCGGAGTGTCCACCTGAGGGAAAACTCTCAGGGGGCGATGAGGCTAGAGCATTGGCGATATTGGCAGACTGCTTCCACAAGAGGCCGCGGGAGTCGACCTCCCCATTGGTAGTTTCTAGTGATAACCAGAGGAAGAAGAAGGCGAAAAAGATCACTGCGTCAAGCAAAAAGCAGACAGCCACGAGCTCGCATCAGCTCCATGCCTCGCGAATCCAAAATCAATCAATCAGTACATGTAGTAGAAGTACCCTCGCCGGCCTCAACAACTAGATGGAAATGAAAATTTGAAAAGCACACTGGAGAATCACTTGAAAACACTCAAAACCAATGCAGGAGGTGCTGCGATAAAGAAAGTCCGATATGCGTTTACGCGATTTGGTTTTGCCCACCCCTCCCCCCTCCCTCCCCCCTGGTTTGCGTCTGCGGCTGCGGCTGTGCGTCTGCGTTTTAACGCGCTCGCGATAACGTCACGTGATGGCATTTCCTAGGCGACCGTCAAAAACCGAAGAAAACGCAGACGCAAACGCGACTTTTGAACGCAGTGTGATGAGGGCCTAAGCGAACAGTATTTCGCTACAACAGGGCAAACTGGAATCGCCTCAGGGCGCACCTTCGCAACGTGGAATGGGGTGATATCATCACGGAGGACCCAGAAACTTCCTGTGAGCAGGTTACCGCTTCGATTACTGCAGCTGTTGCACAGTTTGTCCCATCCAAAGTTCTAGAAACGAGGCCTTCCGATCCGGTATGGTGGACGCCTGAATGCACCCAGACCGAGAGGGAGAAGGAAAAGCGCTGGCGCGACTGGAGAAAACATCCTTATGACCCAGCACTTCAGCAGGCATTCACCGATTCCGTGACTGTAGCGATCGCCACCCAGTTCCGATCACGACGTGCAAAGGAGGACAGCCTCCGTCGCAGCCTCTCAACTGGGTCCCTCAGAGACAAAAAGTGGTGGACGAAGTTGAAGAACGCTGCTGGCAACCGCACACAGCCCGAAATTCCTCTAGTTGTCGACTTTGACGGCCGCGAGTGGGCAACGAGTTCAGAGAGAACAGAGGCATTCGCTCGCTTCTTCTCGAAGAAATGTAGCGTTGCCGGTCTGGACCTTGTGGAGGCTGACCTACCGGACCCTGCTCCCTCAGAGGCTCCACCTCTTCGCACCATCCGCTTCCGCCCACAGGCTGTCCGCCGCCTCCCGGCAAGGCTCGACGTCTTCAAGGCTACCGGGCCTGACGGTATTTCTGCTCGCGTCCTTATTAAAGGAATGTGCTCATGAGCTCGCAGAGCCACTGTCCAAGTTATTTGCTTTATACTTCTGGTCTGCAGTCCAACCTAGGATGTGGAAGACGGCCAAAGTGGTTCCGATCCACAAACGATCTTCCCGCTCAATCCTTAAGAACTACAGGCTCGTATCCTTACTGTGCATAATCTGGAAAGTAATGGAAACTCTTGTAAACAGACACATCGTAAACTATTTTGAAGACCATCATCTGCTCACGTCGCACCAGTTTGGATTTCGCAGATGCCTCTTAACATCGGACGCTTTGCAAGCTCTCCAAACTGCCTGGGCAAGCGCTGTGGGCTGAGGAGGGGCGGTGTAATAGTTTTACCTTGACATTTCTTGCTTGTCTTATTGTAACACCTTGTGTTCCTACTATTCTCACTCCTGCGGTTCTCGCCTTTCTTTTGCTTTATAACCTCTGGTTTGAACATCATTCGGAGAATTCTCCAATCAATCAAGTCTATACTGTTACACTGGTAGCTTGAGGATGGTTGAGATCATCGTTTGCCCTTTGACGTGCCTTGTGCTCCTGGCCGCTACTGCTCTGCTATACGCTGCTTTCCGTGAGATCCGCCGCGCTCGGGACAACGTGGCTGCTACAGTTGGACGACATCAATTACCTGCTACATCAAGCTCAAGTCCTCCGGATCTAGCCCCGTGTCGATCGCGTTCTCTCTCCCAGACAATCCCGAGCGTCAAACGCGTTACCAGAGAACCGAATGTTTTCCATGGCAACCCTTCCGAGTTCAAAGAGTGGGTATTTACGCTCGAGTTAGCCTTGAAGTGCTCACCTCAAGGTGATCCGGAGAGCCAAGTTAACTTTGCGGCTAGCTACCTCGCTGGGAATGCGCGTCTTTGGCTAATTTCTTCCATGGAAGCAAGTGAGCAGTTTTCGGATTGGCATTCTTTGAAAAGTGCCCTAGCGCAAGTGTATGGCCCGCACTATGACGGGGAAAGAGTGCGGTTTGATATGTTCTCTATCCAACAGCGTGGGTCAATTGAATCGTACGTAACGGAGTTTTCTCGGCTAAGTTTACAGGTGCCGGAACTTGACGAACTCTCCAGAGCCTTGCTATTTGTCAACGGCCTGCACGGTAACATGCGGACCTTGGTAGTGAAGGAACAC